TCCTCATGTACTTCTGACCCCTCATTCTTTCTTTGAATCTATAAACCTAGAAGCAGCTCCAGTAACATGATCCTAAAAAGACTTCTCCACTCTTGTCTCTTATTTATAAACATCTTTCCCTGAACTTTGAATCACAATCAGATTCACTTTTCCTAAAATAAGTGTTTCATATGAAATATTTTTAAACCCAAATTTCTAATCAGTTAAGTCTTAACACAGCCTGAGATGCTAGATTGCATTAATGGTTCTACTCTTTTCTTTGAATGGCTGACAGTATATATTTTTTATTTATTTATTTTTTCTTTGAGTTAGAGAGAGAAGAAGGGAGACGAAGAGAGAACATCAACTGGCCGCCTCCTGCATGCCCCCAATGGGGACTAGGCCCACAACCTGGGCATGTGCCCTGACCGGAATTGCACTGAAAACCTCCTGGTGCATGGGGCGATGCTCAACCACTAAACCACACCAGCTGGGCAGTATATATATATTTTAAATCATCAGAAGCAATATCAAAGAGGGACAAAAGAACGGGATGACAGTACACATTTTAAAGATGAAAAAGACAAATTCAAAGTTTAAACCTTGACTGAATTCTGGCACTTTAATAAATGCTCAGTGGACTGAACACTGTCCCATGAACTCAGAGGTCCCGGTTCAATTCCTGGTTAGTGCACATGCCTGGGTTGTGGGGTCAGTCCCCAGTGCGGGGCCTGCACAAGGCAGCTGATTGGTGTATCTCTCACATCAGTGTTTCTCTCTCTCTAAAATTCAACTTAAAAAAAACAACTAAAAAATCAATAAAATTTTAAAAAACAATAAAAAAATGCTATAGAAGGTGTTTGGGAAATAATTGAAGAAATGTAGACTGAATATTATGCAATATTAGGGAATTATGGCTAATTGTTTAAGGTATGATAATGGTATTTTGGTTATATAGCAAGATGCCACTATTTTTATAAAATGCATACTCAATTAAAAAAAAATTTTTTTTTAATCCTCACCTGAGAACATTTTTCCATTTTTTGTTCAGATAGAGTGGGAGGGAGAGAGAGGAAGAAACAAAGAGAGAGAAACATCGACGTGAAAGGGGCACATCGAATGGCTGCCACCCGTACAACGCAACCAGGGCCGGGGACAAACTGCAACTGAGGTGCATGCATGCCCTTAGCGGGAACTGAACTTGGATCTCTCTGGACTGCAGGCTGACGCTTTAACCGCTGAGCCAAACCAGCCAGGGCCATACTTAATTTTTTGGAGTGAAGTGTCATGTTTCAGAACACAATACCCATGCACAGGGATCTGATGTATAAAACAAAGTTGCTAAAATATTAATTACTGAATCTATGTGGTGAGCATATAAAAGATCACTATTCCTTCAATGTTTTTAATGTTTGAAATTTTATAATACAGAAGAATTGAGGCCCTGGCCAGTGTGGCTCAGTTGGTTGGAGCATTGTCCCATGCACCAAAAGGTCATGGGTTCGATTCCCGACCAGGGCACATACCAAGGTTTCAGATTCAAGTCCTGATTGGGGCATGTAGGGGAGGCAACCTATCAATGCTTCTCTCACACATCAATGTTTCTCTCAAATCGATAAAAGCATACATACCCCAAAACTTCTACAGTTACCCTGGCCAGTTTTGCTAAGTGGTTAGAGCATCAGCCTGTGGACCAAAGAATCTCGGGTTCTATTCCCTTGTCAAGGGCAAGCACCTCAGCTGTAGGTTCAATACCAGGCCCCAGTCGGGGTTATGCTGGAGGCAACCAATCAATGTGTCTCTCTCACATTGATGTTTCTCTCTCACTATCACTCTCTCTCATCCTTCCCTCCCTCCCACTCTATCTAAAAAAGAAAAAAAGAAGAAGAAAAAAAAAACAATGAAAAATATCCTGGTGTGAGGATAAAAAAAGTCTACAGTTAAAAAAAACTGAAAAAGAATTGATAAACAAATCCTTCCACAATAATTAATGTATAGATTATTTAACAAGTACTTCATATGTGATAAAAGCTGCAGACAGAATAAAACATGGGCCTTCCTTTCAACAGGTTTATAATATACACTTCAGACATCACATTATGGAAATACATGATAGCATTTACTAAGAACTCTGAATTTCTGTGGAAAATGTTAAGTAGCATGATCAGAAGAGACATAAATAAAAGAGGAAGTAACACGTTTAAATGATATAGGACCCAAATAGGTAGAGCATAACCAAAAACCAAGATTCAAAGAATTTTTTTTTTTTTTAAATCCTCACCTGAGGACACTTTCTGCATTCATAGAGTGAGAGGGAGAGAAGGAGAAAGAGAGAAAGAGAGAGAGAGAGAGAGAAACATCGAGTGGTCGCCACCCACACAACCCTAACTGGGGCCGGGAACAAACTGCAACCGAGGTATGTGCCCTTAGCGAGAACCAAACCTGGGTCTCTAGACTGCGAGCCGACGCTCCGACCGCTGAGCCAAACCGGCCAGGGCTCAAAGAATTTTATGGAAAGAACGAAATATATTCAGTTATACTCACATGGTTAATATATACTTTTGTGATGAGACTAAAGTTTACCTTTTTAATGGCTTGACTGATCATATCGCAAGGGCTGTAAGGAAAAGAAATAACCCAGACAAAATATGAAACTGGTTTAAAGTGATCTCTGGACCTAAAAATAATGAGCTGAAATCTCTCATTTGAGTAGGATATTAATGATTTCACTCTCTGATACAATGAAGTCAGTTAGGTGTTTATTCTATAAGTAGGTAATATTATGACAGGCAAGACAAAAAGGTTGGAGATGCCAAAATAAAAATTTACATTATAAAAAAAATCACTTCTAACTTCAGAGTGGATGAGTCATCTCTGAGAATGAATTTATACAGGAAAGGGGGAAAGGCAGAATACGGTGTTCTAAGAGCCACCTCCAGCAAGAGGACAGAAGGGGAAAAAAAAGCAAAAGATGGAATAACAGAAAGATAAAGCAACATCTCTGGTCTTAAAAGCACCAATGAAGCAAAAGTAGGAGACTTCCTAGAGGAGTAGCTCAAACATCACATAAATACTTTCTTATAAAATGGTAAAATAAAGACATCTCTGCCTACTTTTCATGTCTGTGGAGGAAAAAGAAAAAAGAAAAAAAAAGAAAAGAAAACTGCATTGTTTGTAAGAGCAGGAATTAGCTATAATACCAATGTTTTCTGAGAAAGGTTGTGCATGGGCAGCTGCCACTACTATTTTTAGGAAGAGCTCTCATGCACAATGTTCTCCAAAAACATAAGGCATAGCCTCAAGAGCCATTTAAGCCTCCTTGTTTATAACAACAGAATCCAAGAATGTCAAATGAATAAAGGAGACATGGTGGGCCCACTGGCAACCCTGAATAGTAGGAAAAGTAGAAGTGGGCAAGGAAATGCAGAGACACCATCACTTTATAAAGCAGCTTTTAAGTATACTGTTATAAAAGGTCACAACTTTCTATCTCCCTAAATCCCTGACTTGTATATCCAACTGCCTATTTGAATGTGCACTAGATGATCAGTAGATATATCACAAGTAACAAGTCCAAAAGAAAACTCTTGATCTATCTCCAAAATTACTGAAGTCTTCCTATTTCAGTAAATGATAAGTCATTCTTTTAGTTAAAACCATGGAGTCATCAATCAATCCTGTCAGCTTTTCCTTTAATGTATCTTAAGAATCTGATTACTTGTCACTATTTCAATTACAACCATTTTACCTAGATTACTGCAATAGCCTCCAATTACTCTCCTACCCTTGCCCGCCCCTGCCAACTTATTTTCTTTTTAATTTTTCTTTATTAATTTCACAGAGGAAGGGAGAGGGAGAGATGAAACATCAAGAGAAAACATTGATTGGCCACCTCCTGCATGCTCCCCGCTGGGGACTAGCCTACAACCTAGGCATGTGCCCTGACCGGAGATCGAAATGGTGACCTCTTGGTGGTTGATGCTCAACCACTAAGACACACTGTCCAGGCTAAATCTTTTCTTAAATGTCTTGTTGAAAATATAAATATATCACATTGGTATAAATGTAAATTGGCTTACTTCTTTTGAGAACAATGTGCTATTTCTATTAAATCTATAAATATAACTTTACTCAGTGTTTCCACTTGGAGTAAATTATTATATAGTTGTACCTGCATATCTCTGCAAAGCAATATAAACAAGTATATGCACTTTGTCTTCAATAGCATAAGCCTGGATACAACCTAAGTGGCAAATAGGAGATGTACATGAGGGCAGAAGGGAGGGAAGCAGCTTGTTGATACATAATGGGGGAGGTGGGTAAGACAACAGGAAATATAATTATAGATGTAAAATTCAATTCTGAAGCATTTAACCACTGAAAGAATAAGAGAAAGTGGTCAGTAATTTAAAAAATCAAAACAAAATGTCAGATAGTATGTAAAGACTCAAAACCTATAAAAGAAAATGCATGAAGAAAGACGTCTATACACATTGGGGGATATGATACTGAGGGAATCAATGAAAGAGAGAACAATTACACAGAGGCAGTATACATGAAGTAAAAGTGTGGACATTCAAATTAAAGATAATAGGGGAGCCCTGGCTGGTTTAGCTCAGCAATTAGAGTATTGGCCTGCAGTTCGATTCTGGTCAAGGGCACATACTTCAGTTGCAGTTCCTCCCCAGCCCTGGTAGGGTCCTGCAGGAGGCAACCAGTCAACTGTCTCTCACATCAATGTTTCTCTCTCTCGCTCCCTCCTACTCTATCTGATGATAAATAGAAAAATATCCTCAGGTGAGGATTTAAAAAGAAAAAAATAATAGGGAACCTGGTCCTCTAGAATCTAATTACAGGAGTACAGAAACAGAAAAAATGACTGGAAATGACATTTAAGTATCTAAAAGATTCATACCAAGTGATACTCTAAGAATAGGACCTGTAAGAAAAAATCTTCAAAAGCATTTCAGGTGTCAATGCTTACTGAACAATTGCAACCCGTCTAGTTGTCATTCACTCACCTGGACAAATGTCCTTTCCACTTCTTTCTCCACCATTCAATTTGTCTTTTTGCTTCAACAAAGAATCATGAACAGCTTGGTCAATTTATATAATCTGCTATTGGGGAAATGACACACCACTAGAAGGTTAATGCTGTGTCCAAAAATTCCATCCTAGAACTCAGGCTGAGCCCTGGGGTCTCAGGGCCTTCTGAGAGATGAGGAAGGCGCAATTTCCAGGGATGCACAAGAAAGGGGACCTATAAAAAAGAACAAAGTAATGACCTTTTGCCTTAAAGATTAAAGTACAATTATACGAGCAAAGGGACTAAGACTATTTGAATTCTGAATTCCAAGGCCATATTCATTAAACCATTTAAGCCTCCACACATCTGAAATGGGCAAAGAAAGGACCTTTACTTTCAGAACTTTACTTACATAGGAAAGATGTTCATACCTTTCCTGACTAAGTTATTTTCTCTAGTACCACACTCATGCACAAGTTCTTGAGAGGATTTTAACTGTGGTCTTTATTCCTGGATAAATTCAATACTCATAGCTATGACTACAACAACATATGTCTATCAGAACTAAGCCACATGGATACAATGGGTAGGAAGTTGTTCTGACAATATTCAATAATTTTTTTTTAAAAACCTCAAAAAGTTCCTGGAATCCTAATATTTACTTTGCATTATATTCTGAGTGAAACTATATATTAGAAATGTCCTGTAAATATGTTCATCCATTCATTCAAAAACCACTTTTAAGGTCATTATAAGGACAACTGACAAAATCTGAATATGGCCTGGATTAAATGATAGCAACATATCAATGTTCAATTTTCTGAGTTTGACTACTGTACTATGGTTATAAAAAAGAATGTCCTTGTTCTTAAAAAATCATGCTGAAGTATTTAGAAATAAAGGGAGCAGGTATGCAACTTAGTCTCAAATGCTTCAGAAAAAAAAATTACACAAATACATACTGAGAGAAAGAGAGAAGGAAAATTAAGGTGAAAAAACAAAATGTGAATGATGGATGAATTAGGGTGAAGGGTATATGGGACTTCTCTGTACTATTCTAACTTTTCCATTATGTTAAAATCATATTTAAAAAGCAAAATTCTTTTTAGAAAATCTTAAGTTACTAGTTACATATATACTATCTACACTTGAAAAAACTTGGTCACCAATTTATACTGGGGTATGACAGAGATGGAAGGCTTAGAGCCTTATTTAAACAGTGATGTACACGGAGAGAAACATGAAAGGGCAAGTTGGCTGAAGACAACCTATAAAAAGATCAAGTTTGTATTTAGGAAATGCAGAATGTCAGGTTTACATGAAAAATACAAGCAGATATATCCATTAAGCAATTGTATATGTAGATAAGGAGTTCAGAACAGGCCTAGAATTGACATGGGAATTTGTCATGTGTCAGAATATCATTGCTGCTGAAGACACAGATGGAATGTTACTGTGACTACTTACAGAAAATACACACATTGCCCTGGCCGGGTAGCTCAGGTGGTTGGAGAGTTGTCCCATACACCAAAAGGTTATGAGTTTGATCCCCAGTCGGGGTGTGTATGGAAGGCAACTAATCGATGTTTCTCTCTCTCAAAAAAAAATTTTTCAAAGAAAACATATCCGTGGGTGAGGATTAACAAAAAAAAAAATAAAATAAAAACAAAAGAATATACATGTTATGTGAAAAGGATGGTCAAAGCCCTGGCCGATTTGGCTCAGCGGTTAGGGCGTCGGCCTTCGGTCCAGAGAGACCCAGGTTCAGTTCCTGCTAAGGACACATATCTCAGTTGCAGTTTGTCCCAGGCCCTGGTTGGGTCATGCGGGTGGCAGCCACTCGATGTGTCCCTTTCACGTCGATGTCTCTCTCTCTCTCTCTCTCCCCCTCCCACTATATCTGAACAAAAAATGACAAAATGTTGAGTGAGGATTAAAAAAAAAAAAAAAAAAGAGTCCTGGCCAGTTTGGCTCAGTGGTTAGAGCGTCGGCCTGCGGTCCGGAGAGATCCGGGTTCGGTTCCCGCTAAGGGCACATACTTTGGTTGCAGTTTGTCCCCGACCCTGGTTGGTTGTGTGGGTGGCAGCCACTCGATGTGTCCTTTCACGTCGATGTTTCTCTCTCTCTCTCCCCCATTCTATCTGTACAAAAAATGGAAAAATATCCTCGAGTGAGGATATTAAAAAAAAAAAGATGGTCAAGGACAGAGAGAATCCGAGGGATATCAAGGAGGCAAGAAAAAGTTTCACAGGAACATTGTGGCTGCTTAGTTTTGAATCTTTCAAATACTACTCCTTTTTGAAAACCATACCAACGTCAAGAATAACAGGAAGGCCCTGGCCTGTTTGGCTCAGCGTTTAGAACATCAGCCTGTGGACCAAAGGGTCGTGGGTTTGATTCTGGTCAAGAGCACGTACCTCAGTTGTGGTTCGTCCCTGGCCCTGGTTGGAGTTGTGCGAGAGGCAACCAGTCTATGTGTCCCTCTTACATTGATGTTTCTCTCTCCCTCCCACTCTATCTAAAGATAAAAAATTTTAAAAAGCTAAACAAAAAACAAAAAACTAGAAGAGGCAGGTAATCTTTGAACCATGGAATGATACTATGTCCCTGGCTGGTTTTGCTCAGCAGTTAGAGCATCAGCCTGTGATCCAGAGAGACCAGGGTTCGGTTCCCGCAAAGGCACGTACCTTGGTTGCAGTTTGTCACTGGCCCTGGATGGGCAGTGCGGGTGGCAGCCACTCGATGTGTCCCTTTCACGTCGATGTTTCTCTCTCTCTTTCTCTCCCTCTCTATCTGAACAAAAAATGGAAAAGTGTCCTCGATGAGGATAAAAAAAAACCAAAAAAACAATGATACTATGCCTCATTTTTCCTAATATTCAGTGGAAAATGTATCTGATACAAACATGATTAACACAAAATAACCTGTGTCCATGACAGGATACTATAATAAACAATGAAAATAAACAGCATAAATTTCCAACAATTAAATAAACTCATTGAAAAATACTGCCACAAAGCAGATCAAAAATGAAACATGCCCTGGCCGGTTTGGTTCAGTGGTTAGAGCAACGGCCTGCGGTCCAGAGACACCTGGGTTCAGTTCCGCTAAGGGCACATACCTCGGTTGCCGTCTGTCCCCGGCCCTGGTTGATCATGCGGGTGGCAGCCACTCAATGTGTCCCTTTCACATCGATGTTTCTCTCTCTCTTTCTCCCTCCCACTCTATCTGAACAAAAAATGGAAAAAATGTCCTTGCGTGAGGATTATTGGAAAAAAAACAAAAAAACTTTAAGAAACAAGTAAAGTTATAAAAAGAACAAAAATAAACAAACAAGAACTGCATAAAGAAAAAAGAGTTGGGAAAGGAATGAAAACAGTAAGAATGGACATCTTATTTTCTGTTTGATTTTTTTTTAAAGACTGCAGTATCACAGTTTGGAGGGGTTCCCCCCCCCCTTGATTAACATGACTTTTCCTGGTTGTTGTATCTGAGACACAGCAGTGGCCTCAGCCTTAAGCTTTCTGTTTCTACTCACATCCCCAGAGATCCAGGCAGCATGAATAATCTATACTGCTATATAGATAATTATAGTCTATATCTGACCACAAAAGCCATCATCTTATCTAATGCAAAAACACTGGAGGCATTTCTATTAAATTCTAAATAAAGACAGAATGCCCATTCTCTCAATTACTATTTAATATAAACAACTGTTCAGTACGTTAAGCAGGGAATAAAACTAATTTATAGAAACAAACAAGCTTCCACGTGGCCGGTGTAGCTCAGTGGTTGAGCATCAACCCATGTACCAAGAAGTTGAGGGTTTGATTCCTGGTCAAGGTACATACTCAGGTTGTGGGCTCAATCACCAGTAGGGGGCATGCAGGAGGCAGCCGATTGGTGTTTCTCACATAGATGTTTCTATCTCTCTCTCCCTCCCTCTAAAAAAATCAATAAAAACATTTTTAAAAAAGAGATAAAGTACCTAGAAACAAACTTACTAAGAAGTGTCCAAAACACATAAAGACAATTTTATTTTTTTTATTTTCATTTTTTATCCTCACTAGAGGACATTTTTCCATTTTTTGTTCAGATAGAGTGGGAGGGAAAGAGAGGAAGAGAGAGAGAGAAACATCGACGTGAAAGGGACATATCGAGTGGCTGCCACCCACACGACCAACCAAGGCCGGGGACAAACTGCAACTGAGGTACGTGCCCTTAGCGGGAACCGAACCCAGGTCTCTCTGGACCGCAGGCCGACGCTCTAATCGCTGACCAAACCGGCCAGGGCCATAAAGACAATTTTAAACACTCCAGAGGACCTAAAAGGAAACTAAGCATATCATGTACATGGATAGGAACATTTAATATCATAAAGTTCTAATATCCCTTTTCCCTAAATTATTTTATAAGTTTAATGCAATACCAATAAAAATAAGGGTTTTTATCCCCCCGGAACAAGCTGATTCAAAAGTTTACATAGAAAAACAAACAAGCAAGAATAACTAGGAAATTCTGCAAACAACAAGCAATAAGAAACTAGCTATAACAGATAATAAAACAAAATTACAAAGCCTCAATAACAGCCCTGGCTGGTTTGCCTCATTGGTTAGAGTGTTGGCCTGTGGACTGAAGAGTCTCGGTTTCTATTCCCGGTCAAAAGCATGTACCTGGGTTGCAGGTTCAATCCCTGGCCCTGGTAGGGATCCCGTGGCAGGCAACCAATCGATGTATCTCTCCCATATCGATGTTTCTCTTTCTCTCTCTATTTCTTTCTCTCTCTCTCTTCCTCTCTCCCTCCCTCCCTCCCTTCCATTCTATCTAGAAATCAATGGAAAAATGTCCTCAAGTGAGGATTAAAAAAACACACAAAAAAACATCAGAAGTTCTGAATTAGGGCCATGAGAAAGGAACCATCATAGAAAGCAAAGAACAAACTTCATGAAGGCGGTGGTGGTGAGTTTCTAAGATGAATGTAACTTGAACACAGAAAGCTAACTTCCTCATTCCATTATTAAAAAGAAATGCTCCCACCCAACAATGTTTAAAAATGGAAATAAGAGCATCTACCCATCTGAACCTCTCAGAAATTTCTAACAGAAACAGTACAAATGACTATACTGTTTCCGAGGAGGTATTATTTTGCAACTAGTAATAACAGTACTATTTAACATTAATCCAGTACTTGCTACATACCAGGCACTATTCTATAGAATTTAGAATTCCATAAACTGCACAACCACCCTGTGAATCAAATACTATTAGGAGATGAGAAACTCTGTATTACAAAATGAGAAACTGAGGCACAAGGTTTAAGTACCTAAGGTCACTGAGGTACAATGTGGCAAAGGAAGGAGTTAAGAGGCAGCCTGACTCCAAGGCCTATTTCCTCCTTTTAAAAAACAAACAAAAGGTCATTCTTAAAGGGGCCCAAGGGAAGGCCAGAGGCTGCAGAATGCCAGGAGGAAAATGAGGGAGTCTTTGGTGGTTCGTGACATTGCTGAAGATTTAGTGGAAAAATGGAGAAAGTTTTGTTTTCCCAAGAAACAAACAATGCTGCCATTATAACGAAGATTGATAAGGATAAACGCCTGGTGGTACTGGATGAAGAGCCTGAGGGCATTTAAAAGATGAACTACCTGAAGGACAACCTCGCTTCATTGTCTATAGTTATAAATATCAACATGATGATGGAAGAGTCTCATATCCTGTTTTATTTTCTCAAGTCCTGTTGGATGTAAGCCTGAACAACAGATGATGTATGCTGGGAGTAAGAATAAACTAGTCCAAACAGCTGAACTAACCAAGGTATTTGAAATAAGAAATCGAAGACCTAACTGAAGAATGGTTACGTGAGAAACTTGGATTTTTCCATTAATGTGAAGTTCTCTGTTTCTAAAGTATTTATGTATTAACCTGACTGTACTGAAACCAGACATACTTACTAATGCCTAAAACTGCACTGTTACTTATAGTTTGTTTCCCAAGAAAAATTCTTCAAAGTTTGAACAAATAGGAAACCATCTTCATAGTAATAAAACTTTGTAAAATGTTTCCTTATATTTGTAATTGTTAGTTGGACTACTCTCCAGGGACTTTTTGCACTCCTGTGACTAATTTCTATAACTTATGGTTAAGACTTTGTTACTATTTGCAGACACCACTGGAAAGTGGATACTGTGATAGACAACAGTCGCCTCCTTTTGACAAATACTGGATATTAGCAGTTTATATATGGAAACAGCATATTATCACTTGTCAGAAATTTGAAATTAATTTGGGGTAAGAGACTTGAGTGACCCGATTTTGAACCATGAGTAATAATTTACTATAGTGTAACTGCATTACAAGTACTTTTTTTCATCAATTCTATCCCTTCTTTGGTTTCCTATATTTTTTTGATCAAGTCCAGAATCTTGGTTCATCAATCGCTCATTCTTAAGGTCTGGGAGTTAGATTTTATAATTATAACTATTCTTATGGAAAATAGCATCTTAGGAATTGATGGGTTGTAACTAATCAAGGGCTTTATTCTTGGTTATATCATTTCTTGAGAGTTTTGAATCTAAGTTAATAATACCTTATTTACAAAGCACCTCTTAATGTCCTGTGAAAACTAGTTATTTTAAATTTGTAAATACTGTACCTTTGATTTATTAGCTTTAAAGTTAGTTTAAGACTTTTACACTGCCAATATCCCAGATTTGGCAAAATTAATATTTTTTGTAAAGGGTCCAAGTAAAACAACTTTCTAATGTGTGCATCTATAATTTGTAATAAAATCAACTTCATATTTTTAAAATTCCAAAAAAAAAAACAACAAACAAAAACACTTTGACTTTTGAATATACTAAATTCATATAGTTAGAAAACAAACATTAAAAGGTAGTTGACTTTGCCCTATCTATGCCTGTACTACTACCCCCAACAAAGACAGCCACTTCTGTCTTGTGTATCTTGAGGTTTTTTTGTATGTTTGTTTTCTTTTATCCTCACCTGAGGACATTTTTTTGCATTTATCTTCAGAGAGCGCTGGAGGGAGAAAGGAGAGACAGAGAGAGAGAGAGAGAGAGAGAGAGAGAGAATGAATTGACATGAGAGTGACACATCGAATGGTTGCCACCCACATTACCCCAACCGAGACTGGGGACAAACTGCAACCAAAGTACGTGCCCTTAGCAGGAACCGAACCCAGGACTCTCCGGTTCGTGGGCCAGTGCTCTAAATGCTGAGCCAAACTAGCCAGGGAATGAGGGGGTTTTTTTGTTGTTTTTTTTAAATCCTCACCCGAGAACATTTTTCCATTTTTTGTTCAGATAGAGTGGGAGGGAGAGAGAGAAACATCCATGTGAAAGGGACACATTGAGTGGCTGCCACCTGCACAACCCAACTGGCCAGGGACAAACTGCAACCGAGGTATGTGCCCTTAGCAGGAACTGAACCCGGGTCTCTTTGGACCACAGGCCAACACTCTAGCTGCTAAGCCAAACCGGCCAGGGCTTTTTAATTGATTTTAGAGAGAGAGAAAGGGAGAGGGAGAGGGAGGGAGAAACATCAATGACAGAGAACATCGACTGGCTGCCTCCTGCGTGCCCCCCAATGAGAACTGGGCCCATAAGCTGGGCATGTGCCCTGACCCTGACAGGGAATTGAACCAGCGACCTCCTGGTGCATGAGTCGATGTTCAACCACTGAGCCACAGTGGCCAGAGTACTTTGAGTCTTTTTTATAGGAAACAAATACAAATATATATTCTTATTTCTCCTGTTTCTTACTTCAGATGAAGCATACTATACATTCTGGATCTTGCTTTTTTCACTTAACCTATTTTTGGAGTTATTTCAAGTGTCAGTATACAGAAAACTTCCTCTTCATTCTTTTGTACAGCTGTATATTATTCTGTTGTATAGATGTACCATTATTTTATCCAGTCTCCAAATGATGGGTAAGAATTGTTTTTAATCTTTTCCTATGCCAAACATTACTGCAATGAGCAATCATTTAATGCAAATACAAATAAATTTGTGGGATTTATTTCCAGATATGAAATAGCTGGCTCAAAAAAAAAATACATTTGTAGTTATTATAGATATTGCTGAATTGTCCTTTCTAGGCCGGCTTCATGCTAATACTAATACTATTCAAATTTCCAAGGACTTATATTTTCAAATATGTTAACAGTGGGCTCTTATGTTCCCACACAACTGCTTTTCTTTTTCAGCTTTACTATCTATTCTAGCTTGTCTAGTTTTCCATATGAAGTGCAGAATCAGCTTATCTAGTTACAAAGGGGAGAAAAAAACTGTAATGCTTTTTAAAAAAATTCTTACCGGAGGATATTTTCCCCCTTATCTTCAGACAGAGTGGGAGGGAGGGAGAGAAAAACAGCCATGTGAGAGAGGCACATCAATTGGCTGCCTAACGCAGACCTGGAACCAGAGCTGGGACCAAACCCAAACTGAGTTATGTGCCCTTGACTAGAATGGATCCTGTGACCCTTTGGTCCTGGGGCAGAAGCTCTAACTGCTGAGCCAAACTGGCCAGGGCAAACTGTAAATACTTTTATTAGGATCACATTAAATTAATAAACTTAAGTTTGCATACTTCTTTACATCTTCCTATTGAAAACATGGTATATATCTATTTGTACACATCGTGTTATGCCCTTTAGTATTTTAAAGTTATTTTCTAATAGTTTTGCCTATTTCTTAAGTTCATCTCTCAATATTTTATTGCTCTTTTAAATAGTGGTTCCTTCTATTATATCTTCTAACCGCTCGTCTATTTTAATGTGGTACCCAATAACTTTAACTTTCTTATTACTAAAAATTATGTGAAGGATAACTGGGTGGGTGGTGGGTTCCTTACAAAAAGCATCTTTGCAAACAATTTTCTCCATTACTTCACAAAATCTATACAATCTGAGAACCCCTAGATTGATTTAGGAGTCAAAACACCCAGAATCTAGTCCAGACTAGATTGGGTGGATGAAAGTTGCAACAACTAAGTTTTCTTAAAAGAACGGAAGTAACTGTTTAACGTAGGACCCCAAACCCTTGACTCCCTAATCCTGGGCTTTCTGTGCTGTGCGACACCGCTTCTCAAAGCGCAACGCTGATACTTAGTCTAGGACTTAATAGCAGCCCTATTTAAGTACCCCCAAAATCAGGGGAATCTGAGACCGTCTGAAACAGGCTCTCTCAAGCAGAAAATTCCTTTCAAACATACTTGGTCGCTTACACAAATGAAATCATGGTCATTCGCATTCTACCCCAATAAAAAAGAAATGAGTTTTTATATAAAAATCCATTTTAAAATTATTTATCACTTAGCTCCTCCCCCCTTCAAATCGTCAAGTAAAACTGATGTTTCAGGAAGACGGCACCGTTATCAACACTTTCCACAAGGGAAAGGCTGCTCAAATGTTATTACCTCAATGCTGTCCCCCTAGAGCTCCCCCTCAGACGCATCCTTACACAATCCTGCAACCAGTTTCTCACTCAATAACCTCAAACATCTAGTCAAATTGAGGATCACACACGTTCGAACCTTCCTCAGAGGCCCTCCAACCCCACCCCACAGGCAGCCGAGCAGCTCTTAAACCCACTCCCCTTCCTCCGCGCCGCACCCCAATAGATCCGAAATCCTCCCCTTCAACCTCCCGTACCCGACCGACCCAAGACGCCCACATCCCACCTCCTACTTTCGCGCCACGTGGACCCAGGGGCCGACTGACCAGCGGACAAAGACCAAAATGTCCACTCGGTGTGTTGCGCCTGCGCATTCGGAGGGCTACTAAACAATCCCACAAGTCTCCGCGGCGCAGCACGTACCGTCACCCAGGCCAGACCCAGCGTGGGCTCTAATTACTTTCTACCAACCTCAACGCTGATTTTCCGGCCTTGGACTACATTTCCCTTAAGGCTTTGCTGGTTGACACTCGGCCTCTGTCTCTCCTATGCGAACTTGGCTGCCTTTTTCTGTGATTATGGCGCTCTTGCAGTGAGTAGTCCTACCTTGGAGAAAGGTCAGCTCCAGCCTGGTGGGAGGTTTGGAACGGGAACTCCCTTTTTGAAGTCTCCTGAGCGCAGTGTCAAAGGAGCCAAGATCAAATTCCGAAGTACGAGGACGCCATCTTGTCTGGCTGGTCGGGAGCTGGACTACGTTTCCCAGAGTCCACAGCGGCCTGACGTTACGTCTCTCAACGTGGTGGCGAGATCGTTAGCTCCGCGGGGACCCGGACGGTACCAAGGGGAGGCAGAAGGTGAGGGGTCTGAGAATCCGGGGCGGGAATGGGGCGTGTCCAGAGCTTCAGGTCTCTTTGCTCGCTGGCGGTAGCGGTCTGAGAATGGCCGATTCTGAATGAGTGTTTTGTGGCTGTGGTTGGGTCCCTGTGAGTGTACGGTTGTGGTCGCCTGTCTTCAGGGTATGTGTTTGGTTGTGTTTTTGTAACCATGTGTGATACTGTGTTGGAGTGTGGTTGGGTCCTTGTGACTGTGTCCCCGTAGTGTATGTAAGACCACACGCCTTGTTCTTGGAGGTGTGTACAGTTGTAAATATATGATGGGTGCGGGTATCTGAGTTATGATTGCATGTCTCCAAGGTGGGTGTATGGTTTCGTGATAATTGTGACCGTGTGTGGTACCATGGGCTACTGCCTTGTGTCTGTGACTGTGTGGTGACACTATGTGTATATCACATTTGTGTCCCGTGGGGTATGGTATGGCTATGCCTGTGTGCGGCTGTGTCTCTCTGGAGTGAATGTTGAATTGTGACTGGTTAACACTGAGTTGGTCAGGGTCGAGTGCCTGTAATTGTGTGTATCCTCTAAGTGAGTAATTGTGACTGTGTGGGGAATTTGTGGGTGTGGGTTTAGGAAGTAGGTGACTATATGAGAGTGACTGTGTCACAGTGGTGAGATTGTGTGACTTTGTGTCTTTTTAGTAGGTGTGAGACTATGACTGTGTGTAACGGTGTGGAGGTGTCTATGACTGTGTGATTGTGTCCTGTGTGTCTCGAGTGGATGTGTGGTTGTGTTTCTGTGACACTGACCATTTGTGTAGCACAGATTGTGTGAGTGTGAGGTGCCTGTGACTCTAGTGCTCTGATCACTGCAGAACCTGTGAAATTAGGGCCGATTGTGGCCCTAGACAGTGAGAACCTCAGCCTTAAAGTGTAACACTGGGATTGGGCAGGATGGCAGGTCTTCCCTGACCTCCATCCCTGTGGGAGGGTAAGGAGAGGACCCTTCAAAAATGTCGTTTCCTTTTTCTTCACTCTTCTTCAAGAGAGGTGTTGAGAAGAAAAGGAAAGAATTGCTACCTAACATCCAAAAGCCAATTTCAAAGTGCATCATGTTTTCTTCTTTCCCTGAAACCCTTCTTGTTTTCTGAGATGTGCTCTTCTTTACTTCTTCTGAAACTCCTTGCCTAAGAGAGACCACCACCATCCCTCCCCCTGCCAACATGACCTGATCTCCAGTATGTGCCATTGGAGTAAATGACTGGATGCCCTGGAGGTGAACTGAAAGGCCTCCCTGCCTCCTGCACACCTAATGTTCATTTTAAAAAATTTTTTTAACTTTTCATTTTGAATTAGTTTTAGACTTAAAACTGTTGCAAAAATAGAGTTCCTATATACTCTTAACTCAGCTTCTCAAGTATTAAGGTCTAAAACAGAACTCACCCCCAGCCGGTATGGCTCAGTAGTGGAGCATCTACCCATGCACCAAGAGGTCGCCTGTTCGATTCCCGGTCAGGGCATATGCCCAGGTTGTGGGCCTGATCCCCAGTGAGGACATGCAGGAGGTGGCCAATAGATGTTCTCTCTCACCAGTATTTCTCTCTCCCTCCCTCTCCTTTCCTTTCTCCCTAAAAATCAATAACAATGGGTAAACCGGTTCCACATTACCAGCATGGGGAAGTAATGTGGGCTGGGGACCAGGAAGGGTTGTCTCCAGTGCACTGCCTCCAGGGCTCCAAGGTTGTTAGTTTTCCTTTGTTCTCAGATAAGGAGAAAGGACAGCATTCCTGAGGGAAACTCACAGTACAACTCCCAGCCAGGTCAGAATGGAATTTCTCTTATCAGAATAAAACAATCACAATGAACAGAGCAAGGTGTTTAACATTTCTTATAATTATGGCTAGTACCCCACTATGATTAGTTCTCTATTATTCTTTCCTGCCTCTTTCATCTCCAAACCCGTTCCTCTCACAGTCCTTTGTGTTAAAAAAAATGGCAACCTCACCCTGGCCAGTTTGGCTCAGCGGTTGGAGCATCGGCCTGCAGACCAGAGATTCACAGGTTTGGGCCTGCAGACCAGAGATTCACAGGTTTGGTTCCTGCTAGGGGCACGTACCAAAAAAAAAAAAAAAAAAGGCAACCTTATACTTCTAATTGCTAAAGCCAAAAATCTTAGTGTCATCTTGGCTTTATTTTCTTATATACCTACACTTAGCAAATCCTGTCAGCTCTACCTTCAGAGAATTTCTAGATGCTGATCAGTTCTCATTACCTCCACAACCACCACCCTAATGCAAACCACACCCACCCGTTGCCTGGATTGCTGCAGTAACCTCACTGGTCTCCCTGCTTTCCTTACCCCCTTATCCTCTTTAGTAGTCCATTTTCCATGAGTGATCCTTTTAAATGTAAATCAGGTTATGACATTCCTTGGCCTAAAACATTTCAGTAACTTCCTGTTTTACCTAAGAGTGAAAACCCAAGTTCTTACAATGATACACAAGCCCCATGTGACCCTGCTTCCAGCCACTTCTCTGACCCAGATGAGCCTCTGACCCTTTTTCTCTCATCTACTTCATTCCAGCCAGTCTGGTCTCCTTCCTCTTTTGATCAAAGAAAGCCTGCGCCTGCCTTGAGGCCTTTGCAATTGCTGTTCCCTTTGCTAGGAATGTACCTCCCCTAGAAATTTGCATTCCTCACTCACTCCATTCTTTTTTTTATTTTTATTTTTTTATTAATTAATTAATTTATTTTTGTTACAGATGTTTCTCCTTTTTCCCCCACTGATTCCCTCTCCCTCCCCGCCCTGTCCCCAGCTTTGTTGTCCATGTCCATTGTTCATGCATACATGCATATAAGTTCTGTGGTTTATCTCTTCCCTCCCCCCACCACCTCCTCTTCTGGGGATTGTCAGTCTGTACCCCACTTCCACATCTCTGGGACTACCCCATTCCTCCGACTGTTATGTTCATTATATTCCACAAATAAGTGAGATCATATGTCACTCCATTCTTGTATGTCATCTGCTCAATGAAAAACTTTCTCAGGCTACCCTACATTCCCCCCAAACTCTTTATTTTTCTCCATAGAACGTTGGCCACCTGGCATATAAAGAGGAATATCAGTGTATTTGCTACTGCCTATTTCCAATGTGAGATTTACTGGGATAGGGACTGGATTTATTATCTTCCTCACAAATAGGGAAATGCCAGTTGAGGTAGGAACTTAGTAAATATGAGAGAATTCCTGACTCTTCTTTCTCTCTCTGCCTCCATATCCAATTAGATGCCAGAGACTGTTGATTTTACTTGTTTACTTTTATTTTTTAAAATATGTTTTTATTGATTTGAGAGAGAGCGTAAGGGGAGAGAGAGAGAAATATCCATGTACCCTGACTGGGAATTGAACCGGTGACCTTTGGGTGCATGGAATGATGCTCAACCAACCAAGCCACACCAGCCAGGGCTGGTTTTACTTCCTTTCTACACCTGAATTCATTCCCTTCCATCTCATTTCCACTGTCACTAGCTATCCTGGGGTCAGATCCTTGGTTTGCTTGGGAAAGTACAAGCACCTTTCAGTTGATATTCCTGACTTCAATTTTACTCTTCTGCAGTGAAACAATCTGGTCATATTGGCCTTTCACTTTTTAAAATTCTTTAGTGGCCTTCCATTTATTAATGACTGAAAACCAAACTTTTATCTATTTTATCAGTATTCATTGGTCACCTGCAGCCTTCAGACACCATGGCAAGTGTCAGTCACAGTGATGATGAGACCTGGTCCTTGCTCTTATAGTTATTTTATTTCATTCATACACCTTCATTTTCCAACCCCTAATGTCATCTCCAGCATTATCTTCCTCTAGGTTCTAGAACGAATTAAATTTAAATTTGGATTAATTAAACCTAAATTACATAAAAAATTTAGTTCCTCAGTCATACTAGCCCCATGTGGCTGATGGCTACATTATTTTTTTTTTCCTCAACTGAGGACATTTTTCCATTTTTTGTTCAGATAGAGTGGGAGGGAGAGAGAGAGAGAAACATCGACGTGAAAGGGACACATCGAGTGGCTGCCACCCACACGACCCAACCGGGGCCAGGGACAAACTGCAACCGAGGTACGTGCCCTTAGCAGGAACCGAACCCGGGTCTCTCGGGACCGCAGGCCAACGCTCTAACCGCTGAGCCAAACCGGCCAGGGCTGATGGCTATATTATTGACAGTACAAATTTCCATCGTCACATAAAGTTTGTTGGCTATCACCCACTGGTCTAGACCTTTCCCAAACTATACAAGTCATTCTGAATTGTCCCCTGCTCCTCAAACACACCATATACTTGGTCCACTGTTTTGCCACTGCTCTTCACTCTGCTCAGAATGCCCTTCTGTCCCTTTCCTGTCTATTAAAATTCTCTGATTTTTAGGTCCCACATCATGTTCTATAACTTATGGGACATTTTCTTTGACACCATCCCATTGATTCCATTAGTTTTCCTTCTGACACCCCCACCACGGGTGTCAGAAGCTTCTTGTCCTTCTAATTCAAATCAGCCTTGCCACCCTCCTTAAAACGCCTGATATCTCATTACCTGGAGGAACAGGCCATTCTCCACAGAACTCCAGCCTCAGTAACAGCCAGCCAGGGAGGAAGTGATGTTCTGCAGGAAAGCAATAGGGAAGGTTTAAATGGAAAATAAGAAGTGTTCTGCTAAGAGGCTGCAACAAATTGAGTTCCCAGTCAGGTCACTATTCTGAATGTGCAGGTATGCCTGTAAGATGCTTATATTACTGTGGTTTTCTCGCTCCTGTCCAAGTGAGCCCAGCTGGGGCTGGAGGCTTTGATGAAGCCTTTGGTATGGGTGGCATGGCCCCCTTTTGGACTTAGAAAGAGAAAGTAAAGCCAAAGAGGTACCCAAGAGCTTTTGCCTGTTGAGCCCACAGAAGCTGGAAGACTTTGTCTGAGAATGTCTTTTCCATAAGGCCTGGCCTGCACAGGTATGCTATGCTGCCACTCTCCTCGTTCTTAGAGGGTAAAATGGGTGTGTCTGAGTTATGATCCTCCTTGCTACAGCTGCAGAGGAAGGTCTGCTTGGAACAGGTGGGAGCTAGCTAGGTCCTATCCAGGTTATGGACTAGCAGAAACAAGATGAGGGACTATTCAGGCCAGAATCCCTCCTGCTAAGGTGCACAGATTCTGTGTCGGTGCTGGCGTACATCTGCCTTGACCTTATCTTTTGGTTTTCCTAGGGTTTAAGGAGAAGCTGGGTTTTATTAACTCTGTAGTTCTTAGCATTAGTGTTATGTGGCAAGACCAGGGGAAGACAGGGGAAGCAGAGCAGGAACACTGGAAGTTCAGTTGTTTTTCAGCTCATCTATTTAAGATTGCTGAGACAAGCTCAATTTCTGAGAGATTTGCCCCTTGTCCCCCTACTCTGCTTTTTTCAGGACTCTGTACTTGTCCAAGAGAAGAACCTAGAGAAATCTGAGCAGGTCAGGTAGTTCTAAAAGCCATGGCCCAGGTAAGTTGAAATTCCTTCTATCCTTGAAATAACCTGTCTTCCCTCCAGATTATATGAACATTTGTGTTCTTTATCCTTAACTTCCCTGTCTCGGCTGAGCCCCATTCAGTAACTTGTTCCCAGTTCTTCCATTCCAGGGAATGAATGATGGTGCCTCATTTCCCTTAGTGGCCCTCTCTGACAGTGTTCACACATGTGCATGGTGCTTTTTTTTTTTCATCCTCACCGGAGGATATATTTTCCATTTATTTTCAGATAGAGTGGGAGGGAGGGAGAGAGAGAGAGAGACATCGATGTGTGAGAGACACGTTGACCGGCTGCCTCCTGCAGGACCCCAATTGGGGCCTGGGACTAACCACAACCGAGGTACGTGCCCTTGATCAGAATCAAACCGGCGATTCATTGGTCCACGGACCGACGCTGTAACCGCTGAGCCAAACCGGCCAGGGCTGCATGGTGCTTTTAACAGAGCACCAGTGGAGCAGAAATATATTCTCTTGAGAGCCTCCTTTATTAGAACCATGGTTGCAAGGGTTCAGAGATATGATAACTGATCTTTTTCATTAACCTGAGTAATTTCCCTTTGTTCTATTTGAAAATCATAAAATATTTTATGCTGTCAAAGTTCTTTGGTCTTGCAAGCGAATTTATGACAGATGGATAACTCTAAATGGTCCATTTTGAGGTTGACCAATATGTGTTGGTTGTGGGCCACATTTATGTGACTGAGGTATACCCTTTATTATTTCAGGAACAAAGAAAAGTAGACAGTGAAGGATGATAAATATTCACAATATATAATGAACTGTGAAGATTTCACAAATCTTATTAAAGCTAAATGCCCTCAAAATAATGGAATGATTTTATCTTACAAGGTGTAAAGTGAAATATTATGTAGCAAGTAAAAAATCCCTGTGTTTAGCCCTGGCCAGTTTTCTCAGTGGTTAGAGCATTGGCCCATGGACCAAAGGGTTGCAGGTTCGAATCCCATCAAAGGCACATACCTAGGTTGCAGGTTCCATCCCTGGCCCCAGTCGGATTCGTGCAGGAGGCAACCAGTCAATGGTTACCCCCCTACACTCTATCTAAAACTCAATAGAAAAACATCCTCGGGTGAGGATTAATGCAACAACAAAAAAAACTGTGTTTATTATAAAATTTGCCTTAAACAAAAATTGTTTACGATGTTTAGCAAATGGAAGCAATGGGAACACTGGTCGTTTTCAGCAGTATAGTTCTTTGTTGTATGGGACTGTCATGGGTACAGATAATAAGTACAAATAATTAAGTACACTTAACATTCCTGATTCCAGCCAGCCATTAATGTCAGTAGCAAACTGTCCCCACCCCCACCAGCCAAACCTCCACCAACACTGTGACAATTAGTTCACCCTTTGCATGGTCCCAAGTGCATCCTGAAGAGGAAGGTATAACCTAGGTTGAGATCCACAGACTTCTTAGGACCCAGAGTCTTTGGGATAGATTTAAAACCTCTGTAAATCCTATATTTTAAGTTAGAGATTTGTAAGACTTTTTGGATTCTTTTTTATCTAAAGGGAGAAAAAGTGATAAAAAGGGATGCATTTTTATTTTTTGTTGTTTTTGTTAATCCTCACCCGAGACTATTTTTCCGTTGATTTTTTTTTTTTTATCCTCACCTGAGGACATTTTTCCATTTTTTGTTCAGATAGAGTGGGAGGAAGAGAGAGAGAAACATCGATGTGAAAGGGACACATTGAATGGTTGCCATCCACATGACCCAACCAGGGCCAGGGACAAACTGCAACCGAGGTATGTGCCCTTAGTGGGAACCGAACCCAGGTCTCTGGACCGCAGGTCGATGCTCTAACCGCTGAGCCAAACTGGCCAGGGCTCCGTTGATTTTTAAAAATAGAATGGAAGGGAAGAGAGGGAGAGAGAGAGAGAGAGATATTGATGTGAGAGAGACGCATCAATTGGTTGCCTCTGGCATGACCTGGACTGATGCAGGGGATCGAACCTGGAACCCAGGTATGTGCCCTTGACTGGGACTCAGACTTGTGACCCTTCAGTCTGTGGGCCACTGAGCCATACCAGCCAAGGCAAAAGGGATGCATTTTTAAAGACTTTATTATTTGCTAGGCCCATATTTGCTGTGTGTTTTGTTATTTTTTTATTTATAAGACCCCACTTAGCTAGATTCTGCTTATTCACAGACCTTGTGGACAACAGAAGAGAATCCAGCTGTCTGAAGGGTCTTTTTTATCTGTAGCCCCAGGAATATTCAAAAGCCTGTAGTTCTTCAGTCACATAAATTTGCTTCCTGTACTTCCTTTATCACATAGGCATTCAGCCCCAGCTCGCTTGCTTGATCACCTCCTTCCTACAACATGCTTCTCTCCTCATCTTAAAAGTAATTTCCTGGATGGATCAGGTTGTTAAAACCTGAACCTACTCATCAATTTTAACCATATCAAAATTGGGACAACCAGTCATTATGTGCCTCCTATTGGGACACTTAAGGAAGTACACAGTACTACCTCTAATATATTCATGCCTCCTCAAAAAATACTGTCAGTCAGGCCTCCAGATCTAACCACCATTCACAGAACACATGAAAGTAGGACATGTTAAACTACATCATGAAGATGCAGTCAGCTAAATCCAAAATGTGGGAAATTCTGCTGACTCAAATGTTTCTTTAATAGATAGCAATAAAAATTTTAAAAGGCACTCGGCCGGTTTGGCTCAGTGGTTGAGCATCGACCCATGCACCAAGAGGTCGCGAGTTCAGTTCCGGGTCAGGGCACATGTCCAGGTTGTGGGCCCAATCTAGGTTGTGGGGGGCATGCAGGAGGTGGCCAGTCGATGTTCTCTCTCATCGATGTTTCTATTTCTCTCCCTCTCTCTCTAAAATCAATAAAGAAAATAAATTTTTTTTTAATGTTAAAGGGCCTTTGGGGGCTGTTAGAGATTTGAGAGACTTCAGGAAACCTATCAACTAAACACAATGTGTGGGTCGTGTTTGAATCCTGATTTGAACAAACCAACAGTAAAAAATCACTTTTGAGAAAGTTGGGGCAATTTGAAACTTGATCTGGTTATTAGGGAATTATTGTTAATGTTACTAAGTATGGTAATGTTATTCTTGTTGTGCTTTAAAAAAAATCGAATCTGTTAGATACTAAAGTATTTGTGAGTGAAATACTGTGATGTTTGGTACGTGGGATTTGCCCAAAATACACCAGGAGTAGAAAATGGAAGGGAAGAGAGGAAACAAGATTTGCAAACTCTTGTTAATTGTTGAAGCAGAGTGATGGATTTATGGGGTCATTACACTATTCTCTATACTTTTGTGTATTTTGAAAATGTAATAAGTGAAAAAAATTTTAAAAGTCCTTTGATTTATTAGTAACTAATGGGTTTATTGTTTCAGGGATTGGTGACATTCAGGGATGTGGCCGTAGAGTTCTCTCAGGAAGAATGGAAGTATCTGGATCCTGCCCAAAGGAACTTGTACAGGGATGTGACTTTGGAGAACTTTGGTAACTTGGTTTCACTAGGTAAGGATATTGTATAATATAGGGCCAGATGGAAACGAGGCTCCCAGGAACCACAACGGTGGGAGGCTGTTACCACCTCTGTCCAGAAGAGGTAAAGAGAGGAAACACTGCCCCTGGAAGGTCATGAGAGCTAAAGTCACGGAGGAGGGCCTGGCTGGCAGCAACTAAAGCTACTTCCAGAACTCCCGGGTCAGAGGAGGAAGAAACTCTGTCTCCTTCTGCCTGCTGATCTCCTGCTGATGATTTCCATCTGCCAAACCCAATGAAAACTGATGGGGCCAGTATAATACAGTTCTTTTTTTTTAATATGTATTTTTCTTTATTTTAATTATTTTTATCCTCACCCGAGGACATTTTTGCATTTATCTTCAGATAGAGTGGGAGGGCGAGAGGAGGGAAGAGGGAGAGAGAAACATCGATGAGAAAGAGACTGATCGACTGGTTGCCACCCACACGACCCGATCCGGGGCTGGGGACAAACTGCAACCGAGGTACGTGCCCTTAGTGGGAACTGAACCCGGGACTCTCTGGTCTGCGGGCCAATGCTCTAACCACTGAGAAAACCGGCCAGGGCTAATGCAGTTCTTTGCAGACAAGCTGTCCAGAGCACAGAGCAGAGTCAGGAACAGCAAGGGGTGGATTAGAGGGGGAAAGAGAGGGCAGATGGAGAATCAGCACTATAGTTATCTATTCCGAATATTTCAAGAGTAGCCTTCTGGAATTTCTGTTTTCTTTGTGGTGAATTTCTAGGGAGACTTACAAGTTACTAGCTGAATTTCTGCTCTCTGTTCCCAAAAGAATTGTTTTGTGCTTTTTGGAAGTGGAATTGGGTCGTTCCATTGGCATCCCCATCTTCCCATCCTTTGGACAACCATCACGCCTTCATTTATGTAATTGCCTCTCATTCTTGGTGACCAAGAGACTAGGTTTGGATTTTGGAACAGCATGATCATTTTCCATTTCTCTTCCTATAAACAGGACTTTCCATTTCTAAGCCTGATGTCATCTCCTTATTGGAGCAAGGGAAAGAACCCTGGATGATTACAAATGATATAACAGGACCAAGATGCCCAGGTGAGCAAGGGTTGATGCAGTGGGAAGGTCATTGGGAATACTAGCCCAGTGGATGAGTTATCAAATGGTAACTTGAGTTCTTGTCAGGAAACTCCCCTCAAAGCCCTACCAAAAACTAAGGAAAATAAAAGCCTGAGACATGAGCCCTGCCGGTATGACTCAGTGGATTGAGAGTCGTCCCATGGACTGAGAGGTCCCAGTTCAATTCCAGGTCAGGGCACATGCCTGGGTTGCAGGCTTGATCCCCAGTAGGGGTCATGTATGAGGCAGCCAATTGGTGTTCTCACATCCATGTTTCTATATCTCCCTTTCTCTCTAAAAAATCAATAAAAACATATATATGTGTATATATATTAAATTATGTTAGCCATGAGATAAGTACGGGAAAAAAGGAACATTAATTTATAATGGTTGTAATTAAATTAAGATGATTTTTTTAGGTGGCTGCGACTTTAAGATTTTTATTTGTTCTGGCCGGTTTGGCTCAGCGGTTAGAGCGTCTGCCCTCAAACCAAAGAGTTGCAGGTTCAATTCTGGCCAAGGACACGTACTTTGGCTGCATTTCGGTTCCCAGCCCTGGTCAGGATCGTGCGAGAAGCAGCCAATCGATGTGTCTCTCTCACATCAATCTCTCTCTCTCTCTTCCCTCCCTCCCTCTCTATCTGAAGATAAATGGAAAAATATCCTCGGGTGAGGATTTAAAAGAAAAAGATTTTTATCTGTTCTTGAGAAACAGTTTTGTGTCTTTTTTTCCCTTTATTGATTTTGGAGAGAGAGATAGAAGCATCGATGAGAGAGAACATGGATTGGCTGCCTCCTGCATGCCCCCCACTGGGGATTTGGCCCACAACCTGGGCATGTGTCCTGACCAGGAATCAAACCGGCAACCTCTTGGTGCTTTGGTCAACGCTCAACCACTGAGCCACAGCGACCAGGCTAAATGGAGACTTTTTATGTTATATGAATCTTACTTCAACCAAAATACATATAACTTTTAAAATATATATAGAGAGATATGTGTGTATACACAGGTGCATGCACACACGTGCCTTAGAGTTACTCCTGTAGATTTTGACTCAGTCTAGGGTGGTTCTTGCACATTTGTATTTTTAACAGGTCTCCTGGATGATTCCTATCCCTAGCGAAATTGAGAACCCCTAATTTAATGTTTTGTGTCCTTCTGGCACCATATAAGCTCGCATATTTGTGCTTTCATGTGCTTTTCAGAAATTGCACAATGATATCTGAGACATATTGGCAACAGACTGGTTCCATGCCAGGGGCTGGTTCTGCCCCAGCACAGTCCAGGACCTCCAGGTTCTTGACTCGCATAGGAAAGACTTCAAGAATGAGTTCGAGCCCTGGCCGGTTTGGCTCAGTGGTTAGAGTGTCGGCCTGCGGTCCTGAGAGACCTGGGTTCGGTTCCTGCTAAGGGCACGTACCTCGGTTGCAGTTTGTCCTGGCCCTGGTTGGTTGTGTGGGTGGCAGCCACTCGATGTGTCCCTTCACATCAATGTTTCTCTCTCTCTCTCCCACTCTATCTGAACAAAATGTCAAAAAAAAATGTCCTCGGGTGAGGATAAAGAAAAAAAAAAATAATGAGTTCAAGTGAGAGCAAAAGCAAGTTTTGTTCAAGTAGAGACAGAGGCTAGCATGTGGATTTCTGGAGATGGGGTAGGGGTTGAGCCGCCTGCTGCTCCCCTGGTTGCAAGTCTCAGGGCGCCGCTGTGAAAGAAGCAAAAGTACATGTCCAAGTGGATGTGGGGGAACTTGCGAGTGAGGTGCACACCGGGTCAGTAAATTCTTGGGATTTTATGTGTTTCCAAGGTTAGGTTGTTTCTGAACTTTGTGGTGCCAAATTTTGACTCCGCCTTCTGGTTGGGAGGGGCCTGGTCCCTAAGATGGTTCATTCAGAAAGTGTCACGGTGTTCCTCCCCTCAACCGCTCTCTACGAGTGGTATCCATTTTAATTATAATAATGGTGTAACAATCTTTGGGTCTTTATCTGGTCAATTTTTCGTCCATCTTGGATTGATCTGGTTTCAGCCAGCCCTTGTTGTTGACTTCTTCGACTGCTGAAGTAGTTTCCTGCCATTAACTGTTTCCCGTCAATCGTGCTTGGAGGCCGGGGCTCTGGTGAGAGGACTAGCACTGTGGGCCTGTGATGTCCACTCCTACTTCCTCATTCCGCCGAGGGAGTTGTCCCTACCTTCTTTCTGTCCTACCTCAATACAAACCATCCACCTTTGATGGTTATTACTTTCATTTTATCTCTTTAGGCTACTGTAGAATTTTTTTTTTTATTTCTTCTAGAAGAGGACACTTGTATTAATTTTTGGGGGGTATTTTTTTCAGATTTGGAGTCCAGGCGTGAGAAATTTCCACAAAAAGATATTTTTGAAGTAGAGCCATTCAACTGGGAGCTAATGGAAAACCTTAAATGCTGTGGTTTTGAGAGCTCTAGTTTTAGAGAAGACTGGGAATACGAACGCCAGTTTGAAAGACAACAAGTAAATCAGAAATGCTATTTCAAGCAAGTGAAAATCACCTATGAAAACATACCCCCCTTTGAGCATCATACGTCCCTCACTCTACATCAGAGCAAGGAGACTGGCAAGAAACTGATTGAATGCAACGAATGTGGGAAAGCATTTAGCCGTGGCTCACACCTTATTCAACATCAGAAAACTCATACTGGCGAAAAGCCCTTTGAATGTAAGGAATGTGGGAAGGCCTTTAGTCGAGCCTCCCACCTTGTTCAACATCAGAGAATCCATACAGGTGAGAAACCTTATGACTGTAAGGAATGTGGGAAGGCCTTTGGTCGTACTTCAGAACTTACTCTGCATCAGAGACTCCATACTGGTGTCAAACCCTATGAATGTAAGCAATGTGGAAAGACCTTTAGACAGCATTCACAACTTATTCTGCATCAAAGAACTCATACAGGTGAGAAACCTTATGTATGTAAAGATTGTGGGAAGGCTTTTATTCGTGGCTCACAACTTACTGTTCATCGGAGAATTCATACAGGTGCTAGACCCTATCAGTGTAAAGAATGTGGGAAGGCCTTTAGACAGCATTCACAACTTACTGTCCATCAGAGAATTCATACTGGTGAGAAACCCTACGAATGTAAGGAATGTGGAAAGGGCTTTATTCATAGCTCAGAAGTTACTCGACATCAAAGAATTCATTCTGGGGAGAAACCTTATGAATGTAAGGAATGTGGAAAGGCCTTTAGACAGCATGCTCAGCTTACTCGACATCAGAGAGTTCATACTGGTGACAGACCCTATGAATGTAAGGACTGTGGGAAGGCCTTTAGTCGTAGTTCCTACCTTATTCAACATCAAAGAATTCATACTGGTGACAAACCCTACAAATGTAAGGAATGTGGGAAAGCCTTTATTCGTGTTTCACAACTGACTCATCATCAGCGAATCCATACTTGTGAGAAACCCTACCAATGTAGGGAATGTGGAATGGCCTTTATTCGTAGTTCACAACTTACTGAACATCAGAGAATTCATCCTGGTATCAAACCTTATGAATGTAGAGAATGTGGGCAGGCCTTTATTCTGGGTGCACAGCTCATTGAACACTACAGAATCCATACCGGTTAGAAAGCTTTGAATATTAGGGGTGTAGGAAATCCTTCATATGGAGGGACTTCGCAGCTGACTTAATATTAGATAATGCCTAATGTAGTGTAATATCAGACAACCTTCTTTTGTCAGTTCATTGTGGAACATCAGACAACTCACCAGAAGAAAATGTAATAAATGAGGAATTCCTTTTGCCTCACACTCATTGTTTACTATGTATCAGAGAACATACAGTGAAAAAAATATTAATATGAATGTAAAAAGACTTGTTACCACTAATAATGTATTAAACTTCTGAGAATTGCTAATAGAAAATAACCCTATTAAAATATTTTGTGAATGTGCCTTTTGCCGTGGCATCTACCTTACTGAACATTACCTCATTTCTGCGTTACTGACGGTATAGCGTAGGGCAAATTCTGCAATGTCCCTGTTCTTCAGTTTACTTATTTTTAAGCATGATAATTATACCTACCTAATAGAGTTTTTGTGAGGACTGTCAGATATTTTATATAAAGCCTATGCTGAAAAAATATTTGTTATTATCATTAATTAACTCTTAAGGAATTCATATGAGAGGAGGGCTTTGTGAATATATCAAATATTAAAAAGCCCTTATGCCCAGCCTGTGTGGCTCAGTGGTTGTGAGTGTTGACCCATGCATGGGGAGGTCGCCAGTTCGATCCCCAGTCAGGGCACATGCCCAGGTTGCGGGCTGGATCCCTGGTGGGGAACATGCAGGAGGCAGCCAATTGGTGTTTCTCTCACATCGATGTTTCTATCTCTCCCTTCCTCTCTAAAAAATCAATAAAAATATTTTTAAAAAAGTTTTACACAAATGGTAGCAAATCTCTATACATTGCTATTTTTACTTATCCTACACCATAAAGATTGGACCATATCAATACATATATAGTTGCCTTTTTTTTTATATATTTATTTTTTTTAATCCTCATCTGAGGACATTTTTCCATTTTTTGTACAGACAGAGTGGGAGGGAGAGAGAGGAAGAGAGAGAGAGGGAAACATCGACGTGAAAGGGACACATCAAGTGGCTGCCACCCGCACGACCAACCAGGGCCGGGGACAAACTGCAACCGAGGTACATACCCTTAGCGGGAACCGAACCCGGGTCTCTCCGGACCGCAGGCGGACTCTCCAACCGCTGAGCCAAACTGGCCAGGGCAATATAGTTGCCTTATTTTTAACAGCTGCATAGTATTCCATCATGTGTGTATTTCATCATTTTAAACCTTTTTAAATTATTTTTTCTCTTTCCAACAATCCTATAATAAATATCTTTGCACATAAACCTCTAGAAGTGGAAGTACTAGATCAAAATGTATATACCTTTTTTAACCTTATTGTGAAAAATGTGAACATATGTAAAAATACATAGAATATTCTAATGTAGCCCAATTCCCCCATCACTAGCTTCAATAATTATCAGCTCATGGCCAGTCTTGTTTTATCTGTAATCTTACTCTCCCCTTCCACCTCCATGTTATTGAAATAAATCCCAAATATATTATTTCATCCATAAATATCTCAGTATGTATCTCTAAAATATATCACAACTTTCGGAAAGATTTTCGGTCCTTAAAAAAATTGACAGTACTCTGGAGATGGGGTGGGGGGTGGAGGATCAGGAGGAGGGTGTCAATGGGGGAAAAAGGAGAAACATCTGTAACAAAAATAAATAAAAATAATTTTTTAAAAAAATTAGAAAAGACAAACACAAGAATTGACAATACTGTCTTAAGGCCATTACATATCTGATAGGGTTTTCTAATTATTTTATAAAATGTCAATTTTAAAAAACCAAATATTGTGCACAAATTGCAGTTGATTGTCATGTCTCTTAAGTCTCAAGCCTCAATCTGTGCATTCTCCCTCATCTTTTTTTTTTCTTGCAATGTATTTTTTGGAGAAACAACGTTGTTTGCCTTATAGAATTTCCAGTGCCTGCTTTTTGTTGGCTGCATCCTGTGGTGTGGTTTAACATGCTCCTCTATCCCTGGTATTTCCTATTAATTGGTATTAGAAGCTGAATCAGATTGAGATTCAATTTTCTTATTAAAACCACTTCCAGGTGATTAATATTAAGAGACATAATATCTAGTGTCTTTCTTTTTATGATTTAGCAGCCACTGATATTCAATTGATAAATCTATTCATTAGGGATTGCAAAATGATATCCTATTATTTATTCTACCTTTGTTAGCTAGAGTATTTTTATGACAGAAAACTTCCCTTCAACTATCATTTGGTTATCCACAGTACAGAAAGGAACGGCAGGATAAATGCTTCTCTTTCTTACTCTTTATTGGTTTTCAAAATAATGAGTTGGTTCCCTACCATTTTGCCATGGTAACCAGTGAGTTGGGAGGAGGGGAGTGAAGTATATTTAATATGCTTAAATCCATAACCTCATTGATGTTCACATTGTTCCATGTTTGACTCCTATATCCTTTTGAGATGATCACAGAAGTCTTTAATCACTTCCTTGCTCTCTGCCACAAGGTGTGCCAGGCTCATCTTATTCATTTCCTGCCTCTCACCTCAAAGTAGCCATTTCCAAGGAGTTCTCGTTATTTCTGATATTTTAGTACTTTCCCAAATGGTATTTGGAAACCACAATTGGATTGCTAGGAGTGCAAACTCCCTCTCCTGGTTGGATATTTTTAAGAAACATACACATTTTGTCTGGCCAGTGTGGCTAAGTGGTTGAGCATTGACCCATGCACCAAGAGGTCGCCTGTTCGATTCCTGGTCGGAGCACATGCCCAGGTTGTGGGCCAAATCCCCAGTGGAGGGCATGCAGGAGGCAGCCAGTTGATGTTTTCTCTCATTGATATTTCTATCTCTCTCTCCCTCTCCCTTCCTCTCTCTCTAAAAATCAATAAAAGAAAAAAAATGTTTTTTGTTTTGTCCTTATGAAAAGTAAAAAGGCTCAAATAAAATAATACAGAGAACATAGAAAATTAAGGAAAAACATTTTTAGTGCCTTCCCTCAACCAATAGTGTTATCATTTTTGCATATTTCTTTTCAGCTTCTTAGGTTTAAAAACTTCATACTTTATTAAGCACACAAAAGTAGAAAGTGTAATACATTATATTCTCATCACCCTGCTATAAAAGCCATCAACCCATGGCCAGTCTTATTTTGTCTATACTCATGCCCACTTCCTCTTCCACTGGATTCTTTTGAAAGCAGAATTCAGATATCATATGATGACATCTGTAAATATTTCAGTAATTACCTCTAAAAGAAACTTTTAAAAAAAAGTATCAGTAAGAATGTACAATTCTTATGAGCCTTTAGTAGGGAGAATAATAAAAGTTTCTACCAAAATCTGGTTTGATACTATGATACTCATTGTGATTGCAGAAAAAGTTGTTTCATATATATTAAGAGAATTAGAAGTTTAGGAAAAGGTTTCTCTAGGAAGATTTTTTCCCCCAAAGTTCTCTCTAGTCAAAAAAATTTTTTCAGGTACAATTGTGAAAGGTGAAGGTTTTTTTGTTGTTTGTATTAAATTAAAAATTTAACTGAATTGGTACAACTCTTTTTTTTTTTTATCCTCACTCAACATTTTTGCTTTCATCCTCAGATAGAGTGGGAGGGAGAGAAGGAGGAAGAGAGAGAGAAACGTCGATGTGAGAGACACGTTGACTGGCTGCCACCCACACGACCCCAACTAGGGCCGGGGACAAACTGCAACCGAGGTATATGCCCTTAGCGGGAACCGAACCCAGGACTCTCTGGTCCACGGGCTGATGCTTTAACCACTGAGCAAAACTAGCCAGGGCTGAATTGGTACATCTCTTACCATAATTCTAAATCTCTGATATATTGAAAATTGCATTTGTTTCTTTGCTCCTTGAAAACAGTCAGATAGTCACTGAATGAGTTAAAATTAGGCAAATGATAGAATATTTTTGTGGCAAGAATATGTAGGTGGGAAACTTTACAGAAAAAAAATAGGTATTAGATAGGAAATTCCACACTTAGAATCACCATGCCTTAAACTCTAGCTGAAGAAGAATTTCACAAGTCATTCCAAAGAATCTACATATTTTAATTTTGGAAATAATGTTTGATATCGCATCTTTGTTAGATTCATAAGAAACATTAATGATGCAACAGCTGACTGTATTCTCCACCTAGATGTTTCTCCAGCACCTCAAATGCAATATCTGAAACCAGATTTTAAATTCCACTCTCCCTATTTGATAGCTGCAAAATCTTCATTTTCTTTCATATTTCTAATATATCTTGATTAATGATGCCATAGTCTGCCTTGTCTCCCAAGCCAGAAACAGCTGGCAGCTAAGACTTCTGGTACCTTATCTTCTACTTTTCAAATATTAGCTTTAGATCAAATCTAGACTCTTATCACTAGGTAGGTGATAACCTAGGTTCTTAAGCTTTAGTTTTGGGCTCATAATAGTACCTCATGGAGTTTCGAAAACAAATGTGAAGCACCTACTAGAAATTCCATCACAATAAGCCTCAACTCAGAGAGGAAAAAATTTGTTATTACATAACAATTCAAAGTTACTTAAATTGCAGACATACTTAAACTGAGCTGTTCCTAGTCCCATTAATAAATTCCTCTCTGTCTTCTCTTAACAAACAGCCCTATTGCTCACCCAGTTCCCAAAGCCAAATGCCTAGGGATTATCCTTGGCCTTCCTATCCCTGATAGTTTGCTTCTACCCAGTAGGACATTTCTAAAATACACATACCCCTTTCCTGAGTACCATAAGAAAGGTACTTTGGAGTAATAGGCCCTGTAGCCAGAATTCCTGAGTTAAAATCCAAGTTCTGCTATTTTGTTTGCAGTGTGACCTTAAACTAGTTTCATAATTTGTTTCCAGGCAGTAGCTTTGTTGTGAGGATATAAATTATATATGCTTAGAACGTGCCTGGGGCATAGTAAGGGTTGAGCACATTTATTTCAACTCAGTTCAATATTTATGGAGCACCTACCATGTGCCAGGCACTATTCTAAGCACTGGGGATACAGCAATAAACTAGACAAACAAAAAGCCCCACTTTCTTGGAGGTTGCATATCAACAGGGGAAGAGAGACCAACAAACTGAGTAAATTTTGTAGTATGTTAGAAGGTTGTATGCACCAGGGTGAAAAAAGGGCAAGGTAAAAGAAATCACAAATATGAGGGGGAATCATTGCTATTTAATATCATCACCAAGTTATTTAATAATTAATTATATTCATTATGTAATATGAATGATATATGTAACATTATATAGATAACATTTGTTATTCCTATCATTATTACCAAGTTATTTAATAATTATATTCATTAATAATTTAGAAATGTCTTATTTGTATAATCAGTATTTTTTATCACTATTATAATTTTTTTCTTTATTGATACTAGAGAGAGAGAGAAGGGAGAGAGATAGAAACATGGATGAGAGAGAACATCCACTGGCCACCTCCTGCATGCCCCCCACTGGGGATTGGGCCCACAACCTGGGCATGTGCCCTGACTGGGAATGGAACTGAGCAACTTCTTGGAGCATGGGTCCACGATCAACCACTGAACTACAAGGGCTGGGCCATTGTTATAATTTTTTTTTAATTTCAGAGAGAGGAAGGGAGAGGGAGAAAGAGATAGAAACATTGACTGGCTGCCTCCTGCATGTCCCCACTGGGGATCAGGCCCACTACCTGGACATGTGCCCTGACCGGGAATCGAACTGGTGACTTCTTGGGGCATGGGTCAGTGCTCAACCACTAAGCCACACCAGCTGGGCATTGTTATAATTTTAAATATTGCCTTAATTCCGCCCTCATCATCTCTTATTTGCCACCAGAAAGCTGGGTCTAAAACCGAACATCAACATGGCATATCAATTGTCTTCCCTCAATAAATAGAGGCCAGCCCTCCAGCACAGAGTTGTGTGGGGGGGTACGTGAAAAACACTATAAATGGTGATAACTGTTGAAGCAGGTAGCGGATCCAAGAATGGGAGTTCATTATACCTTTCTCTGCTTTCTCAGTTTGAGAATTTCCATGATAAAACTAAGTACAAAAATATTTTATATATGAACCTTGCCGCTGGAATATAAAATAACAGCTCTTACCTGTGTCTGTGCAATAGTTACTGGCTCCGCCGTAATTGTTAGTTCAGCTATGCTCAATATAGGTTATTTAATGCTCTCAACAAGCATTTAAGATTCTTAGTCCCACGTTACAGATAAGAGTACTGAGGCTCAGAAGTGCAATCACTCGGTCCGAGCAGATAAGCAGCAGCTCGAGCCCCGGTTTACCTGCGCCCTCGCTCGCCCTGCAGTACCGATCCGGGTGGGAGGAGATCCGAGAGACCGGGAAAGAAAATGCACTTGCTCCGGGAGGATATCTCCGCGGAAACAAACCAAAAAAATCGATTCCCCTGTACCGCTTTCCTCTCCACTTGGACCAATAGAGATTCTGAGATGAGTAACGGCTGGATGCCCCAAGCAGTTGGCGCGGAGGCGGGGTTGGAGCGCCTGCTCCTACCAATCGGAACCTGGCCACAGGCTTTTCCCGGCTCCACCCCTCTTCGCGCGGCCCCGGGCTGCGGGAGGCTCGGGGGGCGTGGCCTGGGATTCCCAGAGAGGGGAGGCCACTGTTTGTCCTTGCCGGAGAGGGGAGGTGACTCCAGCCGAAGAGGACGCAGAATGAGGGCCATACGGGTGAGGGCCCCCACCCCAGAAGCCTTCACCCCAATACGAGACTCTCTAAAGGTCCCGGGATCTGGGGCCTTGTAACCTGAGCCCCCTTCAGGGTTCGAGTCTTCCTCCTAAACAGCCCGGGACCCCCAATCCAAGGGCTTCTCAGATACTAACATGGCCCAATGCCCCGGGGTTTCTACTTCTTCCCTTCGCCCGAGACTCCCTAACACCCCCGGACCCAGGCACCGGGAATCTAACACCCTTTCCCTTCCCCGGACTTCTCAGGCTGTCTGGAAACCGCACTGAGTACCTCGGATCTAGTTCCAACATTCCCGGGACCGGGGCTTCTCCCATGAATCCAGGGAACTGAGCCTCCCTTTTAGGCCCGCTGCTCCTCCAGGGCGGTCTGGACAGCCTGCTAACTTCCAAGCAGACCCCCTGGGCGCGGGTCCCCTTCGGGGTCTTTCTTGACAGCACGCCCTACCCCACTCCTGCTGGCAGTTCGATCTGGCCTTTGGGAAGCTCCCAAGGCATAGGGCCGTTCCGGTGACCCCTCCGCTGGACCCACTTGGGGCCGCCTCCCCGGGTGCTCTAATGCCCACCCACCGCTGTCCCCCAGGTCTCCCAGGCACTGATTCGCTCCTTCAGCTCTACCGCCCGGACCCGCTTGGAGAACCGAGTGGCAGAGAAACAGAAACTCTTCCAGGTAGGCGGAGCGGGGTCGGGGCGAGGTGAGGGCCGGGGCCGCAAGGTCGATCGAGGGAGGTGGGGGATACCGTCTTCGCAACAGCCAGCCCCCCTCTTATTGGACGCCCCCAACATCAGGCGGACAATGACCTCCCGGTGCACTTGAAGGGCGGGGGAACCGACGGCATTCTGTACCGAGTGACCATGGCGCTGTGTGTGGGAGGTGAGTGCAGGGCCGGCTCGGCCTCAGCAGCAGGAGGCGGGCTCGAGCGGGAGTGTGGAAAGGGGCTGGTTCCCGGGCTGGGATTGGGTTCTGAGCTGGCCAGGTTTGGGGACGGCACTGGAGTTCAGTTTAGCAAATAGTGAGGGAGCTCCCTGGAGCTGGGCTCCTGTCACAGGAGAGGGTCTGGGGCCTTGGCAGGAGCCGGGTACAAAGCTCAGTGCCTGATCTTGATCAAGGACCAGGGATTCCCCACTTGAAGTGCAGTTTGGGGAGGGAGCCTGAACTGGGGCTGGGATCCAGACTGGCGATTGGCCAGTCTGCAGTGGGGCTTAAAAGCCCAAAATAGAGTTCAGGGAAACTATTAGGGTCTCATTCCGTTTCCCCACACTCCCTCCCTAGGCACCGTCTACAGCCTGTATTGCCTTGGCTGGGCTTCTGTCCCCCACAAGAAGTGAGAACAAGAAGCCTGCAAGACCTGAAGGACTTGAGTAAACATCAATAAATATGCTGGCTTCTTGGGGAATCCAGCCCAGCTCTGGCCTCTGTGTGCCCCTCAGCCTGTCCTCCCACTAACAAGCACTCTGTCCTATGGAGCCCACTGCGCCAGCCTTGAGTCCCTCATTCTAGACCAGGACTATTCCTCGGATGTCACTGCCTCTCAGCCCTCCCAGAGGGGCTGGGGAACCCAAACAGCACCTCCAGGCCACCCCTTAGGCTTGAGGACCTGAAGTGGGATCCTCAAGTGGGACAGGGATATGTATCCTGAGATAGCAGCCCCTCTTCCTTGAGAGGCTGGGGGGCGGTGGGTAGGAAGACGCTAAGCATGGTCCTGGCAAAACAGGCAGGGGCAAGTAAGGAACAAACTCATGCATAGATGAGAGTGGGACAAACATGACCTTGGGAGACAGAACCAGGGGCGACACTGACACTTCCCACCAGCCCTGCTTTTGCAGCATGACCAGAGAGGCCTCTGGGTCCCAGTCTCAGCTTCACAGAATCTCTGAAGCATCTTGGCAAAAATGAGGCTACAGTTCAACTGGGATCCAGTGTGAGAGATATTCAGAGCCAGCCTTGGGGATAGACACAAAAGCCCACGAAATCACCCCCACTCCACCAGCAGGATTCAGTCTCCCTCTACCCCCAGACAGAGCCGGAGCCACCCCTCAACTTGCAGAACAGGAGGTAGATCTCAGAGTAGCAACTGGGGTGCATTTATTTCCTCCAGGGCCTAGTAGGCTGGGAGCAGAATACAAAGGCACTGCGCATGTGGGCCTATGGCCTGGAGTTCAGCTGCCTGGATGGTTAAGTGAACAGGTGTGCCAGGGTACACAGGGATTGGGGTGATCCTCCCAGAACACAGAGAAGGGCCCTTGGGGTGTGGAAGTGACACAACTTGGCACAGATGCACGAGAAGGGTTATGGAGTGGATGTAAAATGTGTGTGCCGAGGGTGGAGTGACGCACGGGGCAGGGTGTTAGAGTGTCGGGGGTAACTTGGGGCATGGCATGTTGGGACACGTGGAACCCTAGCTGTTGTCTGAGAAGCTAGTTGCCAACCGCTGGGAGAACAGAATAGCTGGTGGGTCAGCAGGACCCACGAAGACATGACTGCAGACAGGATCAGCCCCGGGAGAGACCAAAAAGTCCAAGGTGACACCTACAGTGAGGTGACGAGGAGAGAAGTCTGGGGTTCCCATTCAGGAATACATAGTCAGCTGCAGCCACTGGGGAGAGAAGGGCACAGAGAGTGAGGAGGAGACGTGGGAATACCAGGAGCCCTCTCTGCCCTCACCCACGGTTTGCGGGGAAAATAGGAAGGAGGGAGCCCAGTTCAGAGCTAAAGGGAGGGGCCCCTGCTAGGAACCCACATCCCAGGATGGGAGTTCTTACCTCCTGGATGTTCACCTGAATTTGTCCAGTGCCATCCTTATCAAGAGATTTGAAGGCACCTAGGGGAGAGGGGAAGTATTAGGGGGTGGGGCGCGGTTGCCTTTTAGGATAAAAATATATGGGATGATAATAGTTGCTAGTACTTTATTTAGTACTTTGTGCCAAGCATTGCACAAACACGTTTAATCCAATTATGTGAGGTGAGTGTCATTTTAAAAGTTGGCACAGAAAAGTGTTGTGCTCCAGGTCACACAATGAGAAAGTGAGGACATTGAGATTGAAACCCGGGCTACTACCCACCTCAATGATGGCCTCCAAACACCTGTGCGCCCCCACCCCTCATCACCCTCTGCCAAAGTCGCGGCCTCCCACCAACCTCTAAGCCCTCCAGTTCCGGCCTAGACAGACTATTGAAAAGGGTCTACGCAGGCTCCGCTTCCTGCCTTAGTCTGGCATGGTTCCCACTCCTGCCCTGGAACTTCACTCTATGTTCCCCACCCACAGTCAAACCTGGGCAAACAGGTGCCCACACTGCCTTTGTTTCCTCTCTCTCATTCTGCACTGTTACAGTCCTCAGATGTCCTGGTGTCCTGGACGATACACTCACTGCTGATAAACCCAATGGACATTTCTCAGATGTGACTTCTGGCATTATCGGCCCTATTGTCCACTCCCACCTTCCCTTCACATCCCTGACATCCCTGTCCCTTTTCCTCTACCTATGCTCTCAGTGTGTTGTCCTCCCTGGCCTCTTGGGAGGTCAGGAGAGCAAAGCCACACCTGCCCCTTCCCTGCCTACAACCTGCTATGGCTCTCCAATGCCCTTACTAGTGTCTGAGCACCCCTAAAAACTGGCATTCACAGCCCTGTGTGCCCACTGATCTTGCTTCTTTTCACTCAACTTTCTCAAACTGGTCCGAGTTCAAATTCTGGCTTTGCAACTTCTTTGCTGACTGGCTGTAAGCAATTTTGCCTCCTTGAACCCTAGGTTCCTCTTCCATAAAATGAGGACAATAATTCCCACTTCTCAGAGCGATCTTTTTTTTTTTTTTAATCCTCACCCGAGGACATTTTTCCATTTTTTGTACAGATAGAGTGGGAGGGAGAGAGAGGAAGAGAGAGAGAGAGAGAGAGAAACATCGATGTGAAAGGGACACATCAAGTGGCTGCCACCCGCACGACCAACCAGGGCCAGGGACAAACTGCAACTGAGGTACATGCGGGAACCGAACCCGGGTCTCTCTGGACCGCAGGCTGATGCTCTAACCGCTAAGCCAAACTGGCCAGGGCTCTCAGAGCGATCTTAAAGATTCAGTGCATCAATGTTCAAAAGAGCCTTCACGATCAAGTCCCTATTATCCCCTCCTCACAACCTTGTGTCTCACTATCCCACCCCCTCTTCAACATGCTGACCTGAGTTCAACAAAAAACACCAAAAGCACCATCTTCCTTTTCCTTTCTAGGCCTTTGCATAGGCTGTTCCCACTGCAACACGCATCCCCACTCTCTCTGGGGTCACTCCTCACCCCTAAGGTCAGTTCACATGTGCCTTCCTCCAGGAGTCCCTCCTTGATCCCTCAGAGCTTCCCCAGTCACAAATCTAAACCCACTCTGCCCTGAGTTTTCCCTCACAAACCCCATCACTCTTCCCTGAGCTTTCCCCCTATCCCAGCAGCAACCATTCTGAGCTGTCACTGTCTGATGGTTTGCCTCTCCTCCCCTGGACTGTGAGTGACATGAAGGCAGGATCTGGGGCTGTTTCGGTCACTGCAGTGCCCCTACCATTGCCCACCTCAGGGTTAGGCTCAAAGACCTTAGCCAATGGAAGCTGAACAAATAAAATCCACCCCCCAGGAAGAGAGCTGGGGTATTACTCACGGAACATGGCATCCAGCCTGACCAGGCAGCTGATGAAGTTGTCAAAATCCATGTTCCCTGCCTCATCCGAGTAGCGTCGGATGATCATGTTGTAGAGATGCTCATTTAGGTGGAACCCTGACAATGATTTAGTCTCTCAGGTGTGGGGGCCACATAGCCCAACCCTCTCCCAGCCCCAGGATTCAGGCTCAGACCAGCTCAGTGGGGGCTCCCTCACCAACCCCACCCCCAGCCCCACCATGTCCCCACCAGCCATACCTGCCGCTTCAAAGGCCCCTGGAAGTTCACTGCTGCTAATGGTCCCTGAACGGTCAACGTCAAACTGTTTGTATATGGCCTGTGGAGACAGGGAGGTCAGGGATCAAATGAGCATCATGGGGCACAGCATCTCCATGGCTTATAAGTCTGTGCTAGGAGTTTCAGAGGTCACCACATACCTGCCACTTTTTGATGTTGTTCCACAAATACTTGAATTCCTCAAAACCCAGCTTGCCTGTTGTGTCACTCTGGCAGAAGGGTGTTAAGGAAAGCTGTACCAAATTACATGCATTGTGCACCCTGTGTACACCATGATGATAACTGCCAAGCAGGGAAACATGGGCTCAAACCCCAGCTCCTGTCTCATCCGAGTCATGTCACCTTGGAATTTATAATTTTTTTTTTATCCTCACCCGAGGACATTTTTTTCCATTTTTCGTTCAGATACAGTGGGAGGGAGAGAGAGGAAGAGAGAGAGAGAGAAACATCAATGTGAAAGGGACATATCGAGTGGGTGCCACCCGCACAACCAACCAGGGCTGGGGACAGACTGCAACCGAGGTACACCCCCTTAGCAGGAACTGAACCTGGGTCTCTCTGGACTTCAGGCAGTTTGCTCTAACCGCTGAGCCAAACCGGCCAGGACCAAGTCATGTCACCTTGGGTAGGTGCTATTTCTTGTTTTATCCATACATATTTTACTTTATGTTTCTTTTTTTTTTTTTTTTAATCCTCACCTGAGGACATTTTTTCATTTTTTGTTCAGGTAGAGTGGGAGGGAGAGAGAGGAACAGAGAGAGAGAGAAACATCGATGTGAAAGGAACACATCGAGTGGCTGCCACCCGCACGACCGACCAGGGCCAGGGACAAACTGCAACCGAGGTACATGCCCTTAGCGGGAACCGAACCCGGGTCTCTCAGGACCGCAGGTCGACGCTCTAACCGCTGAGCCAAACAGGCCAGGGCTACTTTATGTTTCTTATTGATTGATTTTAGAGGAAGGGAGGGAGGGAGAGAGAAAAACATCAGTTTTGTTATTTTGGTTGCTTCTTGTATGTGCCCTGACTGGTGATCAAACCTGCAACCTTGGCCTATCAGGACAATGTTCTAACCCACTGAGCTACCCAGCCAGAGCCACTTTATGTTTCTAAATGGTTAGGACTCTCTTTAAACATAATCATGTGGAATTATAATAAATTTTTTCATACTACAAGTTTCTCACCTGAAAACAGTTGCTAATTCTTCATATATAAAATTCTCAATTATAAAATCATATAAGATATGATTTCTGCCCTGGCCGGTTTGGCTCAGCGGTTAGAGCGTTGGCCCATCAACCAATGAGTTGCGGGTTTGATTCCAGTCAATGGCACGTACCTTCATTTTGATTCTTCCCTGGCCCTGGTTGGGGTCACGCGGGAGGCAGCTACTCGATGTGTTCCTTTCACATCGATGTTTCTCTTTCTCTCTCTCTTCCCCCCACCCCTCTCTATCTGAACAACAAAACAAAACAAAAAATGGAAAAATGTCCTCGGGTGAGAATAAAAATAAATAAATATATATATAAAAATAAAATAAAATATTGTTTCCTAAATGTTACAACACATACAAAACAGGAGCACCTTAGAGCTCTAAGAAAATGAAGTGACAGTGGTGAATACCTGCTGGGTAGTGATCAGAGCGGAATGAGATATTGGCAGAAAGCCCTTACTTAGCTCAGGAGCTGGCACTTCAAAAATTCTCAATAACAACTAAGGCCAAGACTTACCAGATTACCTAGTAGACATCGGACAGTTTTAAGCTTCTCAGAACATAACTTTCCTCACTAAATCCTCAAGACACCAGCCCCGCCACTATTATTGCCCAGTCATAGAGACAGAAATAGATTCAGAGCTAAAAAATCTACCTGTATAAGATCATAGTAACACCTAACATGTAAATCTTTTGCATGTAACTCTAATTTCTCTGTACTGCAGGCCGACGCTCCAACCGCTGAGCCAAACTGGCCAGGGCGTAACTCTAATTTGATATCACCATTATCATTCATCCCATTTTACAGGTAGGCAGATTGAAGCACAGAGAGGCTCAGTAAATTTGCTAAGGGACAGAGTCAGAATTGTTTAACCCTCAGCCATACATGTATGTGATCACATGATATGAATAGATATGTATGTGTCTACACTGACCTTATATGCTGAGTGTGGACATATCCAAGATTAGCTAATGACTGGCACATGTGCAAATAGATATGTGTTCCTGTGGATATGTCATCACACATCTTCATGTATATGGATGTGCCCGTGTGTGTGCATGTGTATGCGCACATGGGCATACCTATGGCAGTTATAGGCTTGGGTTCTCAAGCCCAAAAGACCTAGAGTTCAAATTCCTATCCAGACACTTATTCTTTACTAATAACTTCAAATGACTGCCTCTCTCTGACAAGTTTCTTTACCTATAGAACGGAATATAATAATTGTATATGTCTAACAGGATGGCTGTGAAGTACATGTAAGTGCCAGCTATGACAGCTGATGTTATTATTGATTGCCACACATCTATAGGTAGGTGTGTGTTCTAATGAATTTCTGTCCATGTCTGTGGGTATGAAAGCTATACCCTGGCTCCCACTCCTGCTCTCATTAAATTCCTTCCTCACTTAAGGCCTCTTCCAGGCTGCCCTCAAGGATACATCCATCACGGCCACCATGCTGCGACACGTGTCAAGGCCAAAGCCATCAGTCTTCAAATCAGGGTCTGTAGGGGAAAGGTTGAATGAAGGTCAGAGGCCAGAGGTCACAGCTACCCCAGCTGCTATACCTCTAAACCTGCCCTATGTGTTGACCCCAGACACTTACGTCGGGTCACAACCTTGTTGAGAATGTTCATGAGTTCTGTTGCGCTGACCTCCATGTCCTGCAGGGAAGTTTGGGGTGGATCAGGGGTGACTGAAAAGGGTTTGGGTGTATCAAGAAGGAGGATAGGAACTTTGAGATTGCCATGGTTGAGTGTGTGTGCAAGGGCCACCCAAGGGAAAGTATGGAAGAATTAGGACAGATCTGAGGACCCCAGGTTACTTACTTCTCCAGCCAGCTGGGCAAAGAGCCTCCGGAACTGCCGGACCTCCTCACTCTCATTTGCCTCGACGTTGGAGTAATGGGTGGGTGGGGGCTGCAGAGGGAGAAGATCTCAGAGAAGGTAGGGTGAGGGGTGGGGAGAGGTGCCCTAGGTGGTAAAGTCAGTGGACTGGGTAGCTGAGTGATCAAAGGAATGAGAGGTGGTCAATGAATAGGGAATAGTTAAATTTGTGGACATGACAATGGAGAGACTTAATAAGAGGGATCTCATAAGATGGAGAAGGGGTGGGGCTCCTCCAAAGGGACAAGGAGCAGTGCGGGAAAAGGCCTCAGAGTGGGAAGAAAGGTCTCAGGTTGGGGAGGGCAGCTTACCTGAGGCTCTGGGTTATACTGCGCAGCTGCCTCGCTGGAAGGAAACGGGAATTAGCTCCAGGGAGCAGGGCCTCCAATAGGCAGCAACAGCCCCCACATCCCAAATCCCCCAAACCCCAGACTGCCATCCTCCCTACCTGTTCCTTCCACCTGCCTTATCTGTCCTTGTCCACACCTGTCCCTATCCTTGCCGCCCTGGTTGCACCCACGAGGAAACTCAGAAGCCTGACCTCAAGGTAGGCTTCACTCCAACTAGAGCACACCTGCTCAATGGCAGCTCTCTCAGTAGATCCAGCCCCTTCGAGGTCTCACTTCATAAAAGTATTGCCCCAGCTTCTCCGGGACCCCAACCCCTCAGATCCCATCTGTCTAGGAACCTATTTCATCACTAGGGCTCCCTGAACGCTTGTGTCTTCCCAGTATCCCACCACAGCTCCATTAGTTCCTGCCGCTTGGAGGGATCACTGCTCAGTGGCCAAGGCTAATTAGGACCCTAATTAGCTAAGTAAACAATCTTAACCATGAAGTGTTTCTTTTTTTTTAATCCTCATTCGAGGACATTTTTTGATATTTTGTTCAGATAGAGTGGGAGGGAGAGAGAGAGAGAGAAACATCATTGATGTGAAAGGGACACATCGAGTGGTCGCCACCCATACGACCCAATCAGGGCCGGGGACAAACTGCAACCTAGGTACGTGCCCTTAGCGGAAACCGAACCTGGGTCTCTCAGGACCGCAGGCCATCACTCTAACCGCTGAGCCAAACCGGCCAGGGCAAGTTTTTCTTTTTTTACAAAAATGTTTTTATTGATTTTTGAGAGAGGAAGGAAGAGAAACATCGTTCAGCTGCTTCCTGCACGTCCCAAACTGGGGACTGAGCTCGCAACCTGGGCATGTGCCCTGACCAGCAATCCAACTGGGACCTCTCAGTCCATGGGACAACGCTCAATCCACTGAGCCACACCGGCGGGGCCGTTGTTCTATTTTAATCCAGCCAGTTCCCAGCCAGGCTGAGCCCCTTCAAGACCACTCCCTTACCCCAGTAGGCCTGGGCCTCTTCTGGGGGCACCGTCTCATAGACCCACCCAGGACTAGGACTGCCGCGCGGCAGGGCCCATAAAACAAGCCTTGCCCCCATCAATTGACACCAAGAATCACTGGCTCCGCCCCCTTAACGTTCGTTCCCAGGTTAGCGGAGTCCAGCCCTAGTAAGCCCCACCTTCCAAAACCCCTCTGAGACCCACCCACAGACTGCGACCCCTCCAGGTGAAGCCCCGCCCCCATGGACTGCGGTCAACCTCTTTAGGGGCCGCCCCCTCAAGGCCCGCTTCCCAGCCCAGGCCCGGCCCAGCCTAATTAAGGCTCCGGGTCAGACTTCAGGTTACCCCATTCTATTCTTGCTGGACAAGTCTCCAACGTTAGGACCCGCCCCCTCAAGCCCCGCCCTACCTGATGGCACTAATGACCCCGCCCAAGATGCGCATGGCAGTTCCGCCGCCGCCGCCGCCGCCGCCACCACCACCGCCGCCGCCGCCGCCGCCGCCGGCTCCGCTGATCAGGCCTCCGAGCACGTTCCCCAGGCCCCCGCCCAGGCCCCCGCCTCCCCCGCCGCCGCCACCGCCGCCCTTCAAGAACGAGTTAACCAGGAACATGGCTGCGACTCAAGATTCCTAAGGAGAAAACAGGGGTTAGGTGGCAGCCTCGCCCCGAGCCCACCTCCTCCCCATTAATATAAAAATTGCAGGCAGCTGGACGTGGGGCCTCCAGCTGGACGTGAGGCCTCCGGGAGGGGGCCTGGGCTTCTGGGGGAGGGCAGTTCTTGGGTGGCCGCGATAGGGACAGAGGAAACGCCCTCGGGATTCAAAGTGTCCCCCCCAGTTAGGCTTGAGTGACCCTAGATTGAGTCTACACATAGGTATCATGAAGGGCAGGGGTGCAGTCTGGTGGGGCCCTAGGGGACCCCACGTTAGTGTAAGACATCCTTCATGTGTCTGGGCACTCGAATCGGAGCCCCAGGACTGGACTATAGGTCTTGGGCGGGTCAGGAACGCGACGGAACAGATTCTCGGCCTGGAGGCCCCGGGACAGGGTTTTGGAAATTCAGGCTGTGGGCTTGAGAGTCTAGATACCCCCAGCAGCGGGGGACAGTGTCGCTGCTGGGTCTGTGATCGCAGGTGTATGACCCGGGCCTGGGATAACGGGGTTCCCCATTAGAACTGGGAACACGGACCTAGGATCGTGGTTCTGGAATACCCTCCCCCCAGGGCACAATTTACAGGGTACCTCTCAAATCCGTGGGCTCGTATTTTAATGAAACCGAGAGTGGAGGCAGGACAGGTCTGGAGGTTCGAATCTCAGATCGTAAGTCTGGAGGACCCCTGAAGCCGGGACTTTAGGATCTCGTCGGGTCTGGGGCCGTGAAGGCCGGGATTACGAAGTACAAGCAAGGGGTGGTCTGGCCTGGGCGCTCACCGCCTCTCACAGGTCCGCCGGTCCGCTGCTCTATGCTGCTCCGGGGCTTCTGGCTGCGTCCGGCTCCCTAGGGCGGGGCTCGTGACTCAGGCGGCTTCCACCCGGATAACCTCGGCGGGCCACCCAGCCGGCGTCCGCGCGGTCCTACCGCCGCCTGCACACTGCGCCTGCGCGCGCGGGCTCGTCCCTGTTAACTGGCCGTGGCCGCTCCGGCCTCGTCCAGCATGCTTCCGGCGCCGCCAACTGAGGCCCGGCGCCGATTTCATTGGTTTGAGGTCTCCCAACACCAATCCAAGCTGGGTGAACACGTGCGGGGACAATAACTCCAAGGTGACCTCGTAGGTTGTTTGAATTTTCTCCCCGAAGCCGGTCTCGACCCGGCTACGGATAGGGTTTTCGGCCCGCTCCAAACGGGACTCTTGGCTCTCGGCCCCTATCCTGGCCTTGTCGCGACAGCATCTGGAGAACCCGGATTTTATTTGGTTCGCGATCCGGGGACAAGTGCCCGGGTCTGTCTTAGGCTAGACTAGGTTTCCCAGGACCTTGCAGCAGCAGGAGGGCGCACATACTGGGTAGGACTTGGCCTCCTGCATCCGCATTCCTTTACCCTCTCAGTCAGGGTCGCCAAAGTGTCACCTCAGTGTCCCGTCTCTAGACGGGCCTGGACATAGAAACAGTCCACTGGACTAGGCCTGGTTGGGTGGTGGGTGGGGAATGACGAAACTCGGAGGAAAAGTCACAACTCCAGCGGCCTTTGAGCCCTTTCCCTTGCTCTCTGGTTCCAGTCTCCAACCTGTGCACACCCAGTATTTTGGGGGGCTTTTCTTTACTTTTTAAAATATTTTTTCTTTATTGATTCTAGAGAGAGAGAAAGGGAGAGGGAGAGAGAGACAGAAACATTGGTGACATCGGTTGGCCACGTTCTGCATGCCCCCCACCAGGGATCGGGCCCACAACCTGGGCATGTGCCCTGACCAGGAATGTAACTGGCGACCTCTTGGTGTCTGGGTCTTCGCTGAACCAGTGAGCTACACCGGCCGGGCTTTCAGGCTCTTCACAAGGAGCTAAGTCTAGCTTCCAGGCAGTTTGGCTTGTCTGGCCCTTAACCTCTCCCTGGAGGCTGGATTGGCTTGAGGTTGAATCCAGACTCTGCTGTGGTGAACTCAGGACAGGACTTGGTTTGAACTGGGTCATTAACTCATGGTAAACAAGAACAGGGTGGAGGAGTTCCTTGGAGAAGGCAGGGCCGGACACCTGGGTCTGCTGGAGCTTGCACGTGAGCACATAGACTCCTTGGAGGTAAACTGCCAAGAACAGGTGGTATTGCCTGGCCCCGGGAACTGCTATTCTTTATATAAATGGTTGAGTTATGAATAGAACAGGTAGTCCTGGAGGGATTGTTATTGCAAAGGTATTTAACTTCTTTAGTGATTGACTGAATGCCTGCATTGTAACTTTACTCAATAAATATGCTGTAGAATACTGGCTGGGGCTCAGCATCGAGAGAGTGCTGAGTCCTCTGCTAATTCAGTTTAATTACTGTACCTGATCCGTCTGTCCTCTTTCGTGATCCCACTGTAACACCCTGCTCTTGTTAGCTGTGGCATACCCAAACAGGGACTTGAAATCTCTGAGCGATGATTTTCTAATTTGTAAAATGGGAACAAAGGTGCCCATGACCCCCTCACTAAGCCCCTATTATAATTGATTAAGGCTTAGTAGCTCTTATGCTGTGTCTATACCCATGCTGTTCCTTCTCCTGGAGCCCACCTGGATTCCTCATGTGGCTGACTCTTGTCCATTCTTAGATAATACTGTTCAAAATAACTCTCCTGCCCTGGCTGGTTTGGCTCAGCGGTTAGAGCATCAGCCTGTGGTCCAGAGAGACCCTTATTGGGTTTGGTTCCCGCTAAGGGCTCGTACCTCGGTTGCAGTTTGTCCCCGGCCCTGGTTGGGTCATGCGGGTGGCAGCCACTCGATTGTCCCTTTCACGTCGATGTTTCTCTCTCTCTCTCTTCCTCTCTCTCCCTCCCACTCTATCTGAACAAAAAATGGAAAAAAATGTCCTCAGGTGAGGATAAAAAACAAACAAAAACTCTCCTAAGCTCTACATATATCAGCTCATATGTCTTCATAAGGGTCTATATATTGTCTCCATTTTACAAATAAGTAAACTGACTGAGGTTAAACTTCCCTAGCTTGTACTTTTTTTTAATCCTCACCTGAGGGCATTTTTGCATTTATGTTCAGATAGAGTGAAAGGGAGAGAGGGGGGAAGAGAGAAAGAGAGAAACATCGACGTGAGAGAGACATATCGACGTGAGAGAGACATATGGACTGGCTGCCACCCACATGACCCCAACCAGGCCCGGGACTAACTACAACCAAGGTACATCCCCTTAGCGGTAACCGAACCCAGGACTTTCTCTTCTGTGGGCTGGTGCTCTAACCGCTGAGCCAAACCGGCCAGGGCTCTAGCTTGTACTCTTAACTACTAATCTAATGCACTGATTCTTCAATCATATAATTAATATGATAATAGTTTAGGTAACAAGATCAAAACAGATAAAACCTATAGTCAAGGCCAATGCTACCAAGAGCTTGCTGGGACCAAGGCAAGAAACTGCTAGGCAAACCTTGTGTGTGGAGCAGGAACTAACAGGAGAGACAATGGAAGATCTGAAGGCAGGGTAACTTGCCTGAGGTCACAGAGGGTGTCAGGACCAGGTCTGAACCTGGGCTTGGCTTGCCTAAACTTATGGTGATGACTAATCCAGATTTCCTTCTTGACACACCCCATCCCTGCCAGACTGAGCAACTTCTGTTCTGTGCCCTCTCCCGGGTTCACTTGCTGCCAGGCCTTCACATGGGCTGTGCCCTCTCCCTAGAACACTCCACCTCACTTCTTTTGCCTGGTTTGTAGTTACGCAGGTTTTGGGTGTCAGGAGTCACCTCTTCTGGGAGCCCTCCCTGTCTCCACCCCCATGTGAGACTAGGGCAGCTTCCAGTTAATATGCTTGTAACTTGTACTTTCTCAATCATATTACAATCATACTGTCATCCAGGTCTGCCTGCCTGCCCTCTTAACCCTGGCATCTCCTTCACATGCATGGCTTAAATTCCATCTTTAGGCTATCAATATCCAAATTTCTATCTTCAGCCCAGACATCTCCAGGCTTCTGCATCCTACTCACTATCTCCATAGGGGTCTTAGAGGTGTCTCAAGCTTCACACATTGTAAACTGACCTTCCCAAACCTGCTCACTCTTCCTTCCCCATCTAGGTTAATGGCACCTCTGTCTTTCCAGTGACTGAAGCCAAACACCGCAGGGTTGTCCTTGACCTCTCTTTCACATCCACTCCAACCTGTCAGCAAACCTCTTTGAGTCTACCTGCAGAATCTAAACTCTTCTCCCCCTCCTCTGCCCCACCCTGGCCCAGCCTCCATCCTCCTTCTTGGATATCACAGTAACCTCCTCCCCATCTGCTCCTGTCTCTGCTGGACAGTCGGCTTCCCACATGCAGCAAGAGGGGGCCTGTGATCAGGGTCCTATGAGCTCAGCCCTCCTGTGACTCCACCTCACTCCAGATTCAGATATAAGTCAAAGTTCTCACCATGTGCACCAAGTCCCTAGTTTGCTGTCCTCTCACCTCTGCTTTTATCTCTACCCTCTTAAGAAAATGAGAAGCCTGCCGGCCAGTGTGGCTCAATGGTTGAGCATTGACCCATACACCAAGAGGTCGCCAGTTCAATTCCTGGTCAGGGCACATGCCCAGGTTGTGGGCCCAATCACCAGTGGGGGGCATGTAGGAGGCAGCCAATTGATGTTCTCTCTCATCCATGTTTCTCTCTCTCCCTCTCCCTTTCTCTCTCTAAAAATTCAATAAAGAAAAAAAAAATGACCAGCTTGACCTGGATGTTCCCAGTGGAACACAGACAAGAGTAAGAGGCTCTGCAAACACAGCAATATCTCAGCAGCCCCTTTCCCGGCACACTTGCGAGCCATTACTCCATTACTGAGGCCCTCTCTAGCCCCACCTCACGGCCTCAAATCTATACATTTAGTGATCTCAGGGAGGTCCTCTCAGATCTCCGATTTAACCCCCACATTTCCCAACTCACCACCCTAGTTTCTTGTCTCTCACCCACTAGAATGTGAGCTCCTCCAGGGCAGGGATTTCTGTATGTCTTGTTCATTGCTATCTACCCAATTCCTAGAACAATGCTCAGCACGTCTTAGGTACACAAACATTTGTTGAATGAATGAAATGTTTTGTGTGGAATTTCTCATCGAATTTTTAGCGCCATCAACGAGATAGTACAACAAGCATTACCAGTCTTCCACCATCTTCCAGACTCCTTGAACTCGGGCATGGTTAATGTGACTTGCTTTGGCCAATAAAATGTGAATGGAAATGTTGGTGGTGTCACTTTCTAGTAGTAGCATTTAAAAGCCAGTGCAGGATGCTCATTCCCTGCCTAGACAGCCTTGGGAGCTATGCAAGTGTAGAGGTGGCACACGAAGGAAGCTAGCTGGAACAATGAGCCATGACATGGTGGACATGTGCCTGTTTTATGAGCAAGAAATAAATTTTGAGGTGTTGGTCCACTAAGATCTACTGGCCTAACCACAGTTTAACCTAGCCTATTCTGACTGATGCAGGTATAAGTTATTACAGCGGTTCTCAACCTGTGGGTCACGACCCCTTTGGGGGTTGAATGACCCTTTCACAGGGGTCGCCTAAAACATAACATTAGCAAAATTACAGTTATGAAGTAGCAACGAAAGTAATTTTGTGGTTGGCAGTCATCACAACATGAGGAACTGTATTAAAGGGTGGCAGCATTAGGAAGGTTGACAACCACTGAGTTATTATGATGCCCATGAGGAAACTAGAGACATGGAATTAGTTGTCCAAAATCACACAGCTAGTAAGTGCCAGAGCCAAGATTCAGATCCAGGAAGCCTGGCATTGTAGCTCGTGCTTCTAATCCTCATAATTTTCTGCCTCAGTGATGTTAATTTTGCAACCCTACCAATTAATAAACCCTTGCCAATTAATAAACCCAA